CTAGGTCGATAGCACATCTTGTGTAGATGTTATTATGGCTGGGGTATTTCGACTCCCATCCAGTGACCCCGTGCTTCTTTGTCCATCTCTATCATTAAAAAAATTGTAGAGAGTCTCCTGACAGAAGAATGATATAAAAAATATGTACCTAGAACTAATAAAAACTTCAAAATTTTGCACAACACTATATAAAATAATTAAAAGTGAACTTTAGATTTATTTTTATTTATCCTTTGCTTGTCGTAATTTTTTTAATCTAATATAAATTTAAAAGCTATACTAGTGTAAACAGACTGTACCGAGGCAGTACTGCAAACATTAATATGCTTGAATAAACATTACATCTATCTTGTAGTTATCTCCAACTAAGTGGCTAACAATGGGCTAACTGAAACTTCGGTAACAATTTGTATCGATAACTTAATTTGTCAGACAATATCGCTATACAGCAATTACCGCTCAAGACAAACTATAAATCTAACCAAATTCTCTCAACTATTTAAACAATAAATCGACAACTTGCCAACTTCGTAAAGACCGGACTTACGCTAAAGAAAGTAGTGTCTAGAAACCGGTAACAGCTAGGGATGTCCTTATCGATAAATTAGATTTTGAATAAATTGTAACTATCATAATATGTTTGACAATTAACGTGTGCATTTATTTAAGGATTTTTTATAAAATTTACACATTTATAAAATATAAAATAAAACGTAGATAATTTAAAAAAAATGGTATACTATGCCACAACGTCAATATACAGATGTAGTAACGATTTCATGATTTTTTGTCTGTGTATTAATCAGGCAGTGTCAATTCGCAATATCAATAAAAATTTAAAACAAATCGTATAAGGTTAGTTTAACGCAAAAATTACTGTGGAATTATTTAAACATCAAAATTGTATTCTATGAGAAATACCTACGATAATGTAAATTACTAATCGATATTTTCTTTATCAATTCACATCACTGTTCATACTAACTATACTATACGTTTCTTAATAGGTATTTCAAATTTAATGTTGATTTCTTTACTTTAATATTCAATGAAAAATATTTGGAAATTTGTGTTTCACTCTCACTGAAACCAAATTCATTAGTACTTAATGATTTGTTCCCTTATACATATCTTCATACTTGGTGTTATTAACGAATCTAAATGCAGAATTGCCAAGCTGTTTTGCAACATTATGGCCAAGTATTAATAACTTAAGTCTGCAACTTACCGGCCCTGCCTTGCTTACGAAGTTTATCGTAGTTTTGCTTGCACCACTATTATGCTTGAGATATTGTTTACGGTTGACTTGATATGTTACAAATTTGCTAGATATATGAAATGTAAAAATTGATCATTCATGTGAAATACCGTTTTTCTTATGGGGCTTGGAGCGACCATATTTCTGTGTCCGTTGCACTGATCGGGTAAAATAAAATATACTTTATTTTCTGGAAAATTTTAAAAGTTATTTAGATTCGTCAAAAAATTTTTCAATTTTTGTCTTGGTCTGTTTGACCGTGTTTTGACTGTGTTCTCTTTTGCCATGCAAGTATTTGATTAGACCTCTGATAAATTTAGCGAAACCTAATCCATTGTTTCCCCAGTTTATTCAAATTACATCGCGCATTACCGGTGAATGTTAGTCAATACGTTGAACCAATTAGCTACACTGACGGGCAGAGTGTCGTTGTTTGCTGAGATGCACGTTGTTAATTACCAGTGTACATTTGAATTTTAATTTAATTTCGATATTTAATATTACACAAAAACTTATAAAGGAACTAATACCGTATTACATACAATAACCATATTCGTAAAATATTTTGTTTGTCTGTCTGTTTTTAACATCATTTTAAAGAGGTCTTTGTTATCGGAAAGTATTATGAATAACCTCAAACAAAAACTAATATACCATTTTTTTGCCCGGTAGTTCAGTTCTTAGATTTATTAATCTTAATATTATACATTACATAATAATTTGAGTTATTGGTTGTGCTGATATTAGTTTTTTCTGAGACCATAATAAATTATTTCTAAGAATTTTAAGGTTTAACTAAGTCTAGTGTTACATAATATTTATTTGTATTAACAAGAAAATTCCCCTAATTTGATACCTGAGAACTTTTGAGCGACGTAATGCAACTCTCTAAAATGTAATCAATATAAGTATACTAGTATATATATATATAGATTAAAATAATTATCTTGAATTTATGACCACAACATTTTGTTATCATAGAGAAGAAAAGACTCGCATTAAGTTGACGCACCTAAGGTGAAATGCCCCATATAATATCTTCACAAAATGCGTTGTCGACTGTATTTAGGCTTTGGATATTCGGAAACCCACACACTGAAACCGAAACGCGATTAAACTTCACGGCTTTTTCATCTGTGGACGGTGGTTCCTGACCCAGATGGAATTACGATATTCCCACCACACATATTAACAACCAAACTTCTAGACGAATTTTAGATAAATTATAAATCGATTGGGACCCAGTGGGGATCAAGTACATACACAAGCCATACATTAGGCCTATTTCGTGCTATTGCGCATGTACCTGTGTCCCACTCGGTACTTTAATATAATAATATGTATGTATACATAGAAATATTGATTGAAATGCGCAACCTATAGACGCTCCGTTAAGGGACGCATAGATTCCTAATCAAAGATGCGGGCTGCACGAATCTTAGCAAATTAGTAGGGGAGAAAGTTACCCCTTTACGCCAGGGTTGTCACAATTTTAAATATATGAGCTTCAAGAATAGATTTCTATTAATGATCGATGGAAATCTAGATGGATATGCGTGGTAGGAATATCGAAATTCCGTCTGGATCACGAACCACAGCCTATAAGTTAAGTTGTCAAGTTTAATTGCATTTCAGTTTCAGTCCTTGGATTTCCGAAGATCCAAAACTGGCCGACAACGCATCTCTTATATTTGTTATTTGGCTCGAGTATTTAAATAAAACACTTTAACGGTTTAAAACGCGATATATTAGTTAAACTTATTTGAAAATGATTTTTAACTTCGGCCCGACGTTTCGGATGCTTTGCAGCAGCCGTGGTCACGGGGAGACCGAGTATTTCAACTACTATCGAGTGAACCCGAATGTAAATGCATTTCTGTCCTCCTCTATTATATAAAATAGGTAATTAATCGATTTACATTTTTACCTTTACAAAAAAAGTATTAAATATTTAATTAATTGTTTTATTTGTCTATCTTTTATCATAATTTCGACACTTCACGCCAATAATCTGCGTATTTCGTAGTCGTGATATGTAAATAAATTGTGCTTATTTATTTTAACGTAAAGTAATGTCTACTGTAATAATCCAAAATCTATTCCATGTTAAATTTAAGGGAGTCTAGAGATGAAGGGTGACTCTTATGTCAAAGTAAAAATCTGTCCCGTCATAGTATGTATTTAGTGAAACTGACCAAATACCAACTACGACAAACAAGTTTAAGTAATACATTTCGCGTTTTAAACCATTGAAAGTCATTGTATTTTAATTATTGTCGCCGTAAAATATAGTTAAAGCAACCGTTAATAAAAACGTTACTTCTACGTTCGGGTGACAGCCCTAAACCGGTCAAGAATGTAGTAGATATCTTGAGTGGTCACTAATGTTCACTCAAAGACCTCTTAACTACATCTCTATCGCAAACAAGCAGACGGAGGGTCACTTAACAGCTGTACGTATAATTATTTCGGTCATTCAATTTACATTTATGGGGATTAAGTCAGGAAAATGTTAAAAGAAAACTGATCGAGATTCTGGAGACTGCAGGCAAAGACTGTCTGTAGTTTAGACTACACTAGTAGTATACATTTATATAAAACAATTTAACGGTTTAAAACGCGATATAATAAATTAATTAAACTTATTTGAAAAGTATTTAAACTTAGGCTCGACGTTTCGGGTGTTTTGTAGCAGCCGTAGTCACTGCGAGCTATTAAAATAATTTAAAAAAGTTACTATTATACTAGTATATTATAACGTGATTTAAACTTTATTTAGATGAAGATGAAGACATTTTGTTTCACTTAACTTAGATAATTTTAGTCCTTAGGCCATAACAATAAAGGTTGATCAACTTCTAATTCGTAATTAAAAATTAAACGGACACAAAACTGTGTTATGTACGTGTACTTACTGGGGGTAAAGGAGATTTCTCTGACTTACACATATTTATGAGCTTATATATTAAGAGCTAACACAATTATAAAAACACGCTAGCTCGATTGGTGGTACAAGGACACGTAACGCTGTTGGTCGGAGGGTCGTTTTCCGTAAGTGTGATCGATTATTTATTCAATCTAATTACTTTTTCAATATTGTCACAAAACTATTTGTGTATTATATATAAAAATACATATGTATATGATATTTTTGTCTTCAATATAGTACATTATATAATTACAAATATTTCTTGAGATACCTACATAACGTAAAGTAATAACAAAGGAAATCGAAACGCAACTAAGCTTCGCGGCTTGTAGCCCAGGCATATAAAATCTTCCCCCCTTTCCGTTTCGATATTTACGGACAGTATAATCCCAGACGGTTGAGACCGGACGGAATTTTCATATGACTACCAGCCATTTAATATCTAGATTTCCAGACGATGTCCGATTGTTTCAGAGTAATATATAAATTGATTAGAAGCATGTTGGAAGCCGGTGGGGATTGAAACCACGGCCCATTAATTTTTAGCCATACTACATCATTGTAGTTTTTGTAAACATTGTAGATTCCATTTATGTAGATCCGAAATTAAGTTTTACCCAAAAATTATATTCTTGAAGTAGTGACATCTAGCGTCTAGTAGCAGGAATATATTCAAACACAACTCCTTTACGAAACAAAGCAGACAGCAAAAAAATAATATTCTTTCACATTGACATTGATTAGATTTTGTATAGAAAAATGATATACTGGAAAATATAATAATTTGTGTACTTTACTTTTAATACATGTAACATGTTCAAACGAAGAATACTCAGAATTGTAAGTGTTACTTTATTTATTGCTTATGTAACTATTTTGAAATATTGAGTGATCTTATTATTTCAGATTTCATTAGCCACTACAAATGTCACACAATGCCGGTTTGTATATTTGAATAATGAGTATCCAGCGACATATCAAATATCGAGGTAATTATTGCAAAACTCATCCTTAGTTATAGGTAAGCAGCAAGAAAACTTATCTTGGCGAATAATATTTATTTGACACAAATATAAGACGTTACTTGTTATAACTACCAATATAGACAATAGTATGGTAGTAGTTAGCATCTAAACGATGGTCCGCCGATCTATTTAATCTTTGGATATTCGGAAATCCACAGACTGAAACGTGATTAAATTTCACGGCTTTTCATCTGTGGACGGTGGTTCGCGACCCTGACGGAATTTCGATAATCCTAGTAACCACTTAATATCCAGATTTCCAGACGAAATCCAACATGTTTCAAAGGAGATTTAAATTTAACCAAATCCAAAAACATTTCATCTACCAAAAATTAAGTAAAGAGAAACATAGAGATCATTTGTTACAGGTTTACAAGTAGTTTTCGACCACAATGTTCAGAACGACATTTGCACTCGAGTGCCCGACTGTTCGCAGTCGAAGAAGTAAAGGCTCCCACTTTCCCAGATTCCGTTTCCAGTGGTGATATTAAGTAAGTTTATTATTTATCACAGCTAGAGCTTTTAATGTCAAAATAAAAGTTATCTAAGTAAATATGAAGGTTTGTAGAATCATCATAATATGTAAATAAAACACTTTAACGGTTTAAAACGCGAGATATTAGTTAAACTTATTTGAAAATTATTTTTAACTTCAGCCCGACGTTCCGGATGCTTTGCAGCAGCCGTGGTCAAGGGGAGACACCCCTTGTCTTCCCTTGACCACGGGTAATTTGTAAAAACGCACTTTTTTTATAGTTGTTAAATAATGACCTAAAACTAGGAATAGTTACGGTGTCCATTTGTTTTTATATAGTGGCAATATAATAGATCTCAAAATAAATCAGATTTCATGAAAACTGTAACAATATGTCCCTTGCTTATCTTAAAGGAGAACATTATAATTATAAAAATATAAAAATAATTAAATACTGTCTATAGTTTACGCGAGTAGTACACATTTAAATGAAACACTTTAACGGTTTAAAACGCGATATATTAGTTAAACTTATTTGAAAATGATTTTTAACTTCGGCCCAACATTTCGAACGCTTTGCACCAGCCGTGGTCTCCCCGTGACCATTTTCAAATAAGTTTAACTAATATATCGCGTTTTAAACCGTTAAAGTGTTTCATTTAAATAAAAATAATTACAGAGACGAACGTTGATCCCTAACAGATATATATTAATTTTATATTGTATTGTGTGATTGACTCGGTTAGTCTTATTTAAAAAAAGCATATTCAACGACTTGAAAAACCTTCTTTATGGACTCGGTGAAGAATTAATTACATATTCAAGCCAATATAAGCGTTGCCTACGCGGCATATTTACACTTGAATATTTCCTTAACATTAATTAAAGGTTGATAAAGAACGAAGGTGACGCGGTGGGGATGGACGAAGTGGTGTTAGAAATTGAAACGGATAAGACGGCCCTTCCCGTGATGTCACCAGGCAACGGGAAGATTGTCAAAATGCTGGTCAAAAACGGGCAGTCAGTTAAATCCCAACAGCCATTGTTTCAGGTATACTTAAAAGTTTTGTAATAACAGCTTTATAATCGAAGTCTTTTATTATTTTCTTAAATGTAGGTTAAAAATAAAGAAATTTAACGATTAACTAGCATAAGGCTACCTTTTAATAAATTTGTGAAATTCCGTTTCCCCCGTGGTGCATGGAGCGAGACATTTCTGTGTCCGTCTCACTTAATTACAGGCGACTCTTCACTCAAACATGATAAATTTTCGAACACCCAAAGGAACTGACATAAATTATAAAGCAATAAGTTACAAATGTCGTTCCATATAGGTGGATGTGACAGGTGTTGCACCAGCTAAAGCGCCTGCTGCACCAGCACCAGCACCTGCTGCTAAGCCTGCGGCAGCAGCACCAGCAGCTGCAAAACCCGCTGCTTCTGCCCCAGCGCCTGCCCCTGCCGCCGCCCCAGCAGCAGCTAAAGCAGCTAAACCAACTGCACCAGCTGGACCTACTGTAAGTAACTTATGTCAGGGGATTAGGTATTTGGGTAGAAAGTAAAGACTGTTTATCTATAATCTATAATAATATATAAATCTGAAGAGTTTGTTTGTTTGTTTGAATGCGCGAAAAATCATTTTTCTGTCTGTTAGAATATTTATTGAGGAAGGTTATAAATCATCGCACTGTGACTAATAGAAGCAAGAGAAATGGCGGCATATGTGAAAAAAAAAACGAGGAAATGATTCATCTTATGGGTTTTCGTCCTATACGCTACAAAAATGGTTCAAGATACCAGGAAATATGTATTTAAGAATGATTCCTCTTTAAACGGTCTAAAAACATGTCCTCGACAGTATATCTTTTAAGATCAACTTGTTAGAACGGCGGGACGCGGTCGACGTCTAGGATAATAGCTTAAATTTATAGAGTTAAACAGGAGTTTGGCAAAAACAAATTTTGATGCCCAAAATAACAATTCTACGCGGACTAAGTCGCTGACACAGCTAGTAATACATAATTTTTCTGTAGACAGTCATTGAAGCTTTTTATCACGTTAGTTCCACCATGATATGCGTATTAATATTTGGATGGTGGAGATGAAGTCATAGAAGGGTTAATAAGTATCTTTCCAGCTGGCAGCGCAGAAAATCGGCGATCCAACAAAAATTTCCGGCACCCGAACTGAATTTCCAGTACCAATGAACAGAATGAGAAAGCGAATTGCGGAGCGGTTGAAGGAAGCCCAGAACACGTGTGCTATGCTCACCACTTTTAACGAGTGTGACATGAGGTATGTTTGAGCAGACTGCAGCAGCATTCAGTGCACTACCTATAGTGTACAAGACGTCCGCCTTAGTCCAATGAAACTATTGTACCTATGGCTAATAATCAATGGGCCGTGGCTTCGATCCCCATTGGGTCTAACATCTTCTATAACTTCATTTTAAAAATAAAAACCCCTCGAGCACCAGATATTATAAACACGCGCTGACTTTATACGTTGTATCGCAAAAAAATTCCACGACCGAAGACAAACTACCGCCATTTTTATTTACAACCCGTATACTAGTAGTACTTAATCAACAAGTTGTAGGGTAAAATTCATTCAAAGCAGCTGGTGGTGTGTTTAGTGGTTTTGGCTCCGAGGACGTAGTCGTACGATTTACCACACACCACACGTCACTATTGCTCGACGTGGGCGTGCATTAGGCATTAAACCATCCGTAAAAGAAATAAAAAAACAATAAAATTTAATTTCAGATTGTTCAACTTTTTTCAAATTATTTTTTTAATTTAATAACCTAATATCGAATATTATAAACTCTAGATAAGTATATTCCTTTCTTTTCTTTTCCAGCAAACTTATGGCATACCGCAAGGCGAACTTGGCAGCGTTTACAAAGAAGTACGGAGTGAAATTGTCCTTCATGTCGCCATTTTTGAAAGCGGCCGCCAACGCGCTACTTGACCAGCCGGTGCTCAATGCGGTCATCATCGGTGATGACGTCATTTATAGGTGATTATATAAAGATATTGTATATGGGTTTATAGATTAGTGCCTAAACTAAAATTGTAAGGTGTTGTTCATTTAAATAAAACACTTTAACGGTTTTAAACTTATTTGAAAATAATTTTTAACTTCGGCCCGACATCTTGGATGCTTTGTAGCAGCCATCGTCACGGGTAGACTAAAGATAAAGGAAGTCTCTGACGTCAAAGTAAAATTTGCTACGCTAGCGCAATCTGTTTCGTTCAAGTTGACTTGAGGCCGTCCTTCCTATTGATCAAATTATCAAAAACAAACTATTAAAAACTCTGGATCCCAATAAACAGCATACCGGCAAACGCGAAGACACCGTTCTGAAGGACTCGGCCAGTTTCGCCAAATACCAACTTCGACGGAACAGATGACAATAGCAATATAATAAATATAAATAATAATAGCGTAGCAATTTTTACTTTGACGTCAGAGACATCCTCCATCTTTAGTCTTCCCATGACCACGGCTGCTGCAAAGCATCCGAAACGCCGGGCCGAAGGTTAAAATCATTTTCAAATAAGTTTAACTAATATATCGCGTTTTTAACCGTTAAAGTGTTTTATTTAAATGTGTACTACTCGCGTAAACTATAGACAGTATTTAGGTGTTGTTCAATTCGAACACGTTGACTAAAACAAACGACAAGTTGTAGGGCGTAAATTTAGCCCTAGAACTAGAAATCTCTCATAAGACTGGAGCCAAACACCGACAAACGGTTTTCAAAATTTATTTTAAACATGAATTTTATTTTAAGATGACAAATATTTTATTACATAGTTAGGACTTGAACCCAAGACATACAGCGTTATATACAATCTTTATACGACCAATTGAGTTATCATGACCCGGTACGGTAATCCCGTCGTAGTTCAATACGATGTAATTCAACTTGAAAATATACGTAGGTATGTCATGTTATTTTGTATATATTTTTCCATATTTCAGAGACTATGTGGATATATCCGTCGCAGTAGCCACACCAAAGGGCTTGGTTACACCTGTGTTGCGTAACGTGGAATCCATGGACTATCCTAGAATAGAATTAGGCATGAACGCACTTGCAGAGAAAGCCAGGACAGGTAAGATAATATTATTTATTATCTATCCTATAAATACAGTTATGAAAAAAAATGGAGAGTAACAAATTATTATATATTTTATAATATTATGAAAAGATTCTTACATTTTAGTAAAAAATATTTTTATTATATGTCAAATCAACACTGCTTCCCTATATATAATTTTGTAGAAATATTGTAGTACGTATATGAATTTCTTTTTATAAATATTCTGTATCGTTTCTCGATATATCTGAAGTAAATAAGAACTCTATTTATAAGGATTATCTCTTAAATATTATCTAAGCCCTATATTTTTACCTGCATTTTTGTACCCCTTTTTTCACAGGTAAGCTCACCCCAGCGGACATGCAAGGCGGAACGTTTACAATAAGCAACGGGGGCGTATTCGGCTCATTGTTGTCTATGCCCATCATCAATATGCCACAATCTGCAATTTTGGGCATGCACGCAATTGTGCCGAGGCCGGTCGCAATTAGCGGAAAGGTACATTGGCTTACTTATCTATGTAAAATAAGGACAGGTAGGTCTTGACATGGGATTGAAGTTTTGGCCGCTTTCTCAAGGTACAGCCTCAAAAATGTAATATTAGAATAAGTAATTGAATATGCAAATATTTCTAAACTATTTCACATCATTAAAAATGCTAAGTGTTTTAAACTAAAACTTATATATTTTCTTTTCTAAGATAAAGATAATTCATTTCATTAAAAAAATATTATTTTATTAATGAACAATCTATGAATAATTGATTAATGAAACATGTAACACAATTACAAAAAATAATTCTTGCAGGTTGAAATCAGACCCATGATGTACCTAGCTCTGTCATATGACCACAGATTAGTGGATGGACGTGAAGCTGTATTTTTTTTGCGAAAAGTGAGATCTGGAGTTGAAGATCCTACATCAATAGTAGCTGGACTTTAACATTAGGTTCTTCCTAAGGAATTAGATCTATCAACTGTTATGTTTAACCCTGGCGGAAAAGAATATTTAATCTGTGACGTGGGTTCGTGACAGATTTTTTATTATTTCTCGTTTAGCCGCCTGTTTTAAAATTTCATTTTGTCAAAGTAAATCTGTAACTGTTTTTGTTAAATGCATTTACACACACAATTAAATGCATGAAATCATTATCACTAATTGCAAGTAACTGCCGAAAAATAATGGATTTATTTCCCCCAACAATTAGAAACTTATATTAAAAAACAGTAATAATTTTCGAAAAACGAGCAAAGATGATTTTCATAAAGCTGAATGCAATTAAATAATGTTCTACGAATTATGTATAGTATATTCTCTAGTTTGTATATAGTTTTAGAATTGAACAGTTTGATTTAAATAAAATGTTTTTATTACGTTGTTTTTTTCCCTCACCTTGCATTGTATCAAGATTTAAGAACGAAATATTTTACTTTTTAATCTTGGCCTGCCAGGATGCAATACAATTCTTACATATTTTCATATGTAGGTAATTATATCATTAATTTTCATGGAAAAAGCAATACAAATAGAATATTAAACGATGGATCACAAACCTATTCAGTTTTTTTTAAGGGAACAAAAACGAATATAAAGATGATACATATAAAAACTTATATACTATAGTATTGAATACATTAATAATTAAACCTCAAAAAGTAGACATACTCAAATAGGTATACAAATGTAAATCTTTGGTAGAATATATAAGTTTTAGAATAATGTTTTTACTGTACAAGTTATTAAATATTGAATTAAAATAATAACCGTTATTTTTGTACTATAAGCCTTATAGTACAAAAATAACGGTTCATTACATTTAGGTGGTAAAAATAAGCAATAAACAACTATATAAAACATTGGAACACCACATTAGTATATTTTTCCCTTAATAGAAAGACGTTATTTCTAAAAAATTTATATACATTTGCGATACTTATTGATGTAATCTGTAAAATAAACGAGATAAAATATGAAAGGATAATCTGTGGACTCAGTTTCAAATGTCAAATTGATGTATCGTCTATGGTTTTTGTCATGTTTGTGTTTTTACTGCGAGAATAATAATTGATCAAACGTATTTCGCAATATTGATATTGCTGAATATCCAATTTCAATATTGAAATTTGAGTTGTTGTGTTAGTTACAGATTTAGTGTGAACTTGTGTATGATTTAGTGATGATAAGTGTCTAACAATATGAGGCGAGGTCATCAAGGTATTGGCGGATGGCGTAATGAAAACTCACGGCACTATAGATCTCGAAATAGCGGCAATCCCCATTTTAGACCCCCAAGAAATTACAACTCACTAAATACTAATAGGTATTATATTGATATATTACATAATTATTAAAATAAAGATGCGGTCAAAACAACTTTTTCAAATTAATTGCCGCCTTAATGTTGACAGTATTTGCATAAATTGGTATTTGTTTTTGTTTACGACTACGTTTTAAATGTTTAAACTCTAATAAATTAATAATTCTTTATTTACAGATTTCCACCGACAGGTTCCAGACCTCACAGACCATATTTTAAACCCCATACTGACACGGATGGTCATGTACAAGAACGTGAAAGAAAGCAATTCTCTCATGATTCTCATTTTCAATATCAAAGGTCAAGAAATCAAAATGTTTTGAACAACAGACAAATACCATTACACTACACAGGTCAAGGAGGATATCCAAGCAATTATAAAGGTAGCTCACAAAACCCTGATGTATTTACAGTTAACAGTTTGGGTGACATTGATCAGAGACAACCACCAATTAATGAACACTATTCTATTCCACCATGGGGTGTAGAGCAAAATTTTCATGACACGGATGATCGAAGTTATCATCGTCCTTATAGAAGCACTACACCCTCTAACAAATTACATCCTGACTATGCTGGACACAGGCCACCTGCATCAGACCATTATGTGGGCAGTTCTACAGCTACAAATGACAAATCAAATAGTTTTAGTAGATCTGTAGATGATACAGTTAATATTGTGAGAAAAAGATTATTAAATCGTGGTGAAGCACCTATGTCAGAAGAAACCGAGAGGGCTAGGGAAATTACAGAAGAACCTCAAAATTTAAGGGATACAACAAGCAGCAGTCGATATGACCAATCAGTGAAAAAAAAGGCACCAAAACCGAGTAAGGTAAACTGTGAAAAAATTAAAAGTAAAATTGTTCATCAACTGTTTAAAATGGACAAAGAGAAGATACATAAATTGTTAGACAATCCCAACTCTTCTACCAAATTTGAGTATGCGATTAATAGTTTGCTGACTGAGTCTCAAAATAGTTTTAACCAACATTTAAGGTCTGTAGCTGAAAAATCTCTGTGCACATCTAGTAAGGAGTTTATGCAAAATGATAATAACACCATATATGAAGATACATTTATGAAACAAATGCAATGCATTCTCGACCCCCAAGACAGTGTCTTATTGGAAGATATAAAGCCATTAGTAATGGCTGAATTAAGCAACATTTTACAATTAGATGATGTAGATGGCAGATTTGACAATCAAAATAGTTACTCATATTATAATGAAAATAATATGGAACAAGGTTATGACCATGAAAGTAATCCAATGTACTATGAAGAAGATTACTTTGAAACTTTAAGCCCTGGCTATACAAATTTTGATGACTTTGATTTACAATTTAATAATCAAAGTTTTAAAGAAACAAAGCCATTGTTTGAGAGGAGGCAACGACGAAAAAGTTGTAGCATTATGCCTGAAGAAAACACACAAAAGAGACCCAGCTTTTCACCGGACATAGAAACTGCTTCTGTCAGGCGAGTCATACGGAATAGTGTGGAGAGTAAAATAATAGATGATTATCCTTCAGGCGAATCGTTCATGCCAAATGACAGTAATAGCAAACCTATTTTTGATGCTAATGCAGATTCTGTAGAGGATGAGGATACCTTTGCAGAGTTAGATAGACAGTATCATGTCGCAGTAGATCATGATTTGATTGAAAATGATGAGTTATCAGATACCATTCAACATGATGCACATTCCATAAAAATTAAACAGGAAAAACAATGTACCATCCAAACAAGCACTCAGAAGCCAAATAAACTAGTGGATATTCTTCAATCTCCTATCAGGGTTACACAATTTGTAAAACAAGAAATTGACTGCCAACTACAAACTTTGGCTTCTGAAGAACTAGAATGTGTAGTAAAAGAAGAAACAGACGTAAAAAGTAGCAAACAAAGACTAAGAGAAAAAGCTTCAAAGCACCCGAATAAAGTTGATGATACGAAAAAAAACGCCAATTTAGGATGTTCTGAAAATATAACTACATCAAAACCACCGCCATCTTCTCATTCTCGTAAGAGATCAATGGACCAAAGACCCCCGCATCGTAAAGAAAAGCGCAGAAAATCGCACGACGATAGCGATGATAAACCATGTCTAGAAAAGGAAGAAAGTAATAGGTTTACATTTGATAAACATATAAACGAAACTCGCATTAACATCACTGAACCAAAGGATGTATCAAAGAATACTACAGAAAATAGACATGCTAAAGATAATTGTTCACTTTCCAATGAAAAGAAACTTGATAAAAGTTTCTCAGAGAAATTTGTAAAAAGAAAAGATACTCCAAAACAAGAAAATAAAGAACGAAAAAGACAAAATTCTACCTCATCAAGTCATTCCATCAGCCCTAAAAATACAATATTAAATCAGACAACATTAAAAGCTGATGCCAAAAGCTCTCTCAAAACAATAGACATGTTTACGGAAGTTCCAAAAAAAATCAACATACACCAAGCATTTAGAAATACAGCTGCAAACACGTCTCCTAAAAAAATTGCCGAAATAAAACCTAAACGTATAACGTCTTTGAATCAAAAGTCCCAGAAGAAAAACGATGACGTTATAAGATTAGTACATAAAGAAGTCCAGACTTTGTCCTCAAAGAGTTCAACATCAAGGTATTGCCAAACGGAGAGGCAGAAATTTACTTCTAAAGCTACACAAACAGACTTAGCACCAATCAACCATAAAGCATCAAAATCAACTGATACTTTTGAGAGAATGAAAGAAATCGACATTGAAATTCAAATGTTACTGCAAGAAAAGTTCAAGTTATACAGCTCCATGGAGAATAAAGGACCTATGCCAATGCACAATTTAGGTATGACAGTACTAAGCGTCAATTCACTTGAAGATAATAAAGAGGAGGTAGACTTGGAAGATAGTATTGTTAATAACTTTACTAATATACCAGAAGAGGAGTTAGCCGATATAGCATTAGAACCAGTTGAAACACCACCGACACCTGTCAACAGCCGTCGAGCACAGAGACGAAACATTAGCTACAATGCTATGCACCATGGAACTAGGCCCAAACCACCTAAACGGAAGGCTAAAACCCCAAACTTCTCACTAATAGAACAGATTATAACTGACGATAGACCATTAGAAGATATAATATCGCTCGATGATTTAGAAGAATCACCTAAACAGATTAAGAAGAAACCAAAATCTAAACCCAAAAAGAAAGGCAATAAAAAGAAGATGCCTAATGCGTCTCTTGTCTTCAATTTAAAGGAGTGTTACATTCCGTTACTGCGTGAAGATCTGCATCGATACTTGAATAAAAGGAGTGAAGATGAACAGAGCAATGACTCTAGTATTCCCTCGGTCTCTGAAGTATGTGCCCAAGAACAAACAGGTGTATATGAACGAAGTCATTGCGAAGAAGTGATTGTAGAAACCGTAGTAGCAGATTTACAATTTGACATGTTAGATGTGTCAGAAGATATTGTGATTGGAGAGAGTTATGACGATAAGAGTACGATTGAAAAAGAAACCTCAGAAATTGGTAGGCCGATAAGTGAAGAGATAATCTTGGATAATAGTCAATCGTCGATGGAAGAAGTTACTGCGCCAGCTATATCTCAGGATGGGGAGTGTAAATTGTTTGATTACTCAGCAGATGAGAACCTTCAACATGATTCGCTAGTGGTAAGCGGACACACTGATGCTGTTCTCGCGATTGAGGTAGGTTTCAATGATTTAACTAATGGAATACATCTAATATATTACAAATCTATTAATAACAAAAAATATTTCAGTTCGTTGGGACAAATTTCTTAGCAGCCTGCCTAGATGGGAATGTTTATTACTTCAATTCTGACGGCCAGCTCATCACAACTCTGCGGGGATCAAACCTAGCTGTGACTTGCCTCTGTATAGTGAAGGAGAAGTATGGCACTACAGTTTACACTGGCTCCCTCGATTCGAGGATACGAAACTACGATCTCGAGGTACTTTTTTTTTAAATCATTATTATTAAGGCTTTGATCAAGCAGGCCCTAAATATTTTTTTATTCAATTTCAGACGGGCTTGGAAAAAGGGCCAGAGTGCAACGTTCTTAGCCCCATACAAACGATGGACCGCGCGTGGGACACAGTGTTTGTGGGAACTAGGACTGGATTCGTGTTACAGTTTGAATGTAAAGTAAGTATATAAGATACTAAAATTGGCCATTAACTGAAACTATCTCTTTTATTAACCTCCATTATTTATTTATTTCCCTTTTTGGCTTTGTACATTCGAAAATCGATTGTCTTGATTTTCCAGACATCTTACATGTTTTAAGAAAAATATAGATTGTTATTTATTATTTGTGTAGTGAACATATTGGACCTAGTGAGAATCGAAAATACAAACTTTCATTTATTGGACCATTAGTTTATGCGAGAAGCCCGTGAAAAACTAGCTCATGATTAAAAAACTTAATGAATATTAATTTAATGTTTCAGAACAACTTGCTAATACCAATAAGTACTGTCAAGTTCTCGGACCAATCTATACTGGCCCTACGCGCTATGAAGGAAGGTCCCCGCAAAGTTTTGCTAGTCGCAGCTCGCTCTGAGAATGTGACAGTCAAAGACGCGCAGACTGGCTTGCTCTTGCGCACGCTAAATGGACCAAAGATGACCGTCTACACCCTTTTGTATGAAGATGGGAAGATTTACTGTGGGACCAGTAGTCATCAGATACACGTCTTCGAATATACTGTGAGTAATACTATATAATAAAACTGTTTAATTAAGTTATTAAATCATTCAGTAAATATCCTGTTTGGGCCATTGGGCCAGATTTTTTGGTCATTAGGCAAAAAGACATGAAAAATTTGACATGTCAATGTCAGTATTACAACATCAACTCTAATGGTGATCATAAACTTTAAACCGGTTGTTGGAGGGGTTCCATCCTGCGCTCAGTTAAATTGATGATGCAGTTTTAATTTTATTTCTGTACAGAGTGGAACACATGTCGGCACCCACGAAGGTGGTAAAGGAGCAGTGTGCTTACGAACAGCTGGTGGACTTTTGTTCGCTGGATGCTACGATGGATGTATATATGTTTATCGAGAGGGCGAAACGCGCCCCTTTGCGCAAATCCGCGGGCCAAGCCTTATGCTTCTCTGCTTAGCTGTCGTGGGGACCAAGGTAATGTTCCTCAGTAGAATTCCAAAACTGTGCTTGTTTGTCCTTTAATACTTAACTGAACAACCAATTCACTTGGTATTAAGCGGTTATTTTTACTACGTTTTAGTATACTTTTTTAATTATCGTAAGTAGGCATGGTTTGAAATTAGCGTCTATTAATTTTGAATCTTAAATGAAATGATTTTTTTTTGTTTCAGATTATAGCTGGTTATAAAGACAGAAGTTTGTACATATGGAAAATACCACTAAGTATACTGCAAGAGATGATTTTGTAATTTTCTTAAGTGTTGTAGAATCACCTCTAGTTTACATTAAGTTTTTGTGTATTTACTCTAAAGATTTACATAGTTTGTAACTAAAATGTACATGAATTAGAACCAGATTATGTTTTTTCTTCTTTCATTTCGTTATCCTATTACAAAAAAATAAAATATAATAGATATATAAAATTCGAACTCTATTTAAAAAGGCCTATAATTGCAAAGACGAGAGATTTACAGAAAAATTGATTGCGTATTCTTATATAATATAGTTAAACATTACTTAAGGACAATATTGTATTGAATCCACTAAGAATAATTAAATAAATATATTCAAATAATTTTAGTATGCGAAGTGTAACGCAAAAATTTTTCCCATTGAATCATTTAAATAAGTTACGATGATATTGCGTCTTTAAACATCAAATTTCAAAAACTTCCGAACGCACCAACATTTTTGCCAAGTGGCAGTCTGTCTGTCATCTGTGCATTTGTGACTTACGTCAGTGTGGGAGTTTCAGTCGGCAGCCATTATTCTAATTTCTACGTATAAAAATTTATTTCGTTTCTGTTTTGTGCTACACAATCTGTCGAAACAAAGGATTTCATTATTTTTGATAGATTCTACTATATCATCAAAGTGTTCGAAATAAATTTATAGTACAAAATGAATCCTGAATAGTAAGTACAGATTTATTTAGTGTCATGATGTGTAAAAGAAGGATGGGCTGAAATAACTTCCAAAGTTAACACATCCACCTAAAAATTACGATCCCCTTTTGTGAAATTCATCTTTCGAGGCGTTGATAGTCGACCATTCATGTTACTTGATGCTTTAAAGAGAGATGTGGTGACTCATTATGTATACCAAAGAAATCGAAACGTAATCTATAATAATGTGAATGGCGCTTGAATTAAGTACGAACGAATAACATACTTCCGCGTATTTGATGCTAATCGTTCAAATCCTCTGAATAATTCGCTTTTCATTTGTTGATACTCTTTGTTCCCGTCAATGATACGCCTCCTTTTTTAACCAAATGATCTATTGACATATGACGAGCTTTCATACAATAAAGTGCGTTCTTTGCAGCGATTACTTGTTCAAACTCCTATTGATTGGTGATTCTGGTGTTGGCAAATCCTGTCTGCTGTTGAGATTTGCAGATGACACATATACAGAGAGCTATATCAGCACTATTGGTGTTGACTTTAAAATAAGGACTGTAGAATTAGATGGAAAGACAATAAAGTTACAAATATGGGACACAGCTGGTCAGGAGCGTTTCAGAACAATCACATCATCATATTACAGAGGAGCCCACGGGATCATCATTGTTTATGACTGTACAGATCAGGTAACTGTCTAATACAAAAAATAGTATTGTGCCTTTGAACAATAGAAGTGCTGAATCACAAATTTTATAAGTCTTTAAAATATTTCTATAGTTCATTGGGTTTTATGTTTATGATAACTTTTAAACAAAAAAAAATATTTAATATATTAGCTACTTTAGAATATTTTGTATACACATAATATCAAATGACAGTTGAAAAGTATAATTCTGTACAATAAAGATATTCGGAATTAGAAATTTTTCCATTTTACATACAATTAAAGTACAATAGATTTAAATAAAAAGACAATAGTGACTTTACTTCAGAGAAAAGGCTGTAAGGCTTAATAAATTTTCTTTATCACCAAAATATACAAATTATTCTACACTTAGTACACAGTTTATAAGAATTAAATTAACTACATATTTAAAATTTATCTAAGTAGAATTCAATATCATTACATGCTATTTAAACTTCAATACTTTGCATTGCTTGTTAATTGGTGATAAGTTCACCTTGTCATAAATTATCATCAATAAATCACGGGGCATAATTATTAAATGGCAATTAATATTGCTTTGTTTTATAATAGAGTAAAATATTCCCTACTAAGTGCCTCTGGAATATAGCATATGTGAGTATTTATTTGAAACAACTAAAACATCTATCATTATATAAATATCAGCGACCAATTAATTATTATTTAATGTATTAATTCAAAAATAGTTTTATAATATAAATTGTTTAATTATTATAAGCCGGTATTATTCATAATGATGTCAATGGCCACGAGATCCATTGCACTATAAGTATGTACTGAATAAAACAAGTATTTGAAACATTAAATTATATATATAGTCAATTTATTTTCAACTACAACCCAATGTTATGGATTTAATGTATTCCAATTAAAGAAACATATACATTAAGTTGAGACTCATTTTTATTCATGCCCTATATCTCAAGCTCAACTTTTTCAGGATTCATTTAGCAACGTGAAACAGTGGTTGGAGGAAATTGATCGCTATGCATGTGATAATGTAAACAAGCTTCTGGTTGGTAACAAATGTGATCTTACTACAAAGAAAGCAGTTGACTACACTACGGCTAACGTAAGTTGGATCATTCCTAATCTTATTAATAGTAGAAATACAAAAAGGAAACCTTTAATAAGATAGACCTAATATATATAAAAATTGTTTATTATCGCTTAAAGTAACATCCTGCTTTCCCAAGTAGAACAGGCACATTTCTGTGTCTCTTTGGTTTTAATTTTTTGTGCATTTACTATCTTATAATTATATAATAGCATAATATAGTTGTTTTAATATAAAGGTGAAAAGTGCTAACTAGTGCAGTGATAAAGGTCATTGACATTTTATCTCTAAGATGCATTCCATTATCTATACATAGGTAGATGAAGACTTATGTATACATTACCTATATTTACTAACAATGTTACTGACTTAACACTATTGTTTAACTTTATGAAAATCATTCAATATGACTTTCAGCAATATGCCGAGCAGCTGGGCATACCGTTCCTGGAGACAAGTGCGAAGAACTCTACAAACGTGGAGCAGGCGTTCATGACGATGGCGGCGGAGATCAAAGCCCGCGTGGGCCCGCCTTCCGCCGGCTCAGCGCCCGCCGGGGCCTCCGTCAAGATTGACCAGGGGCGGCCCATCGACACTGGCAAATCATCCTGCTGCTGAATATTACTCACACTCGGTGAGTACATAATATGTCGTAGTACCAATTATTCTTTGGTCAGTTGGCCGTGTCAGAAGTTGGTATAAAATTAATTTTGATGTCTATTTTCTTTCTATCTAACTAAAATTTCTTAATGTGAATTGTTAAAATCTTTAGACAAAAAGTACTGTCATTATTAAAAATTTAAACTGGAAAAGGGTGTGTCTTGTTTTCCTTCTTTCCAATTCTAAGAATATAAATTATATCTATTATAGTAAAGTAAACGATTAAAATTATAATACACGACTTTCTTTGTTGCTTGACATATTTCCTCGTCTCAGTAGTATATCACGATTCCAGGCTGGCGACCGAAGCAGTTGGCCGCGCCAGCGCGCCTCACCACACTGTTAACGCAATTACAACAAACGTTTCATTGCATATAATTAATTATAATAAACAAATCTAAAACATAGCGAACTTATATTAAGCTAACTTCTCTTAAGTTGCTACGTCCGACATATTGTTAGTTCGACGGAACGGTGAAATGTATGGGTGTATGTTTATACATATTTATATATAATGAGTATCGTAGGTATAATTTTACGTGCTGAACTGATGGGGGCTCACCGTGGACGCAGGCTAATGCCATAAACCCAGTTTTATATGGAAACTCGGTGATTTTTTAGCTGTTTTAGAAAAATTTATGATAATAAATACCAAGTATCAAGAATGAATAGATGTTTTGTGATTAATTTTTATATGCCTAATGATTTTATTAGTCGAAACTGCCGCATTACTCCTATTCTAAACAAATCATATTATTGTTTTATTAGTACTCTGTTTTTATTCTCAAAGCGATTAAAAAATCACTTGGTGTGTAAAGCTTCTTTCCCCTTAAAGTGATATCACCTCAGCCTGATCTATGAAATATCTACTAGGCTGTCTGCGTTCCGTGGCCCCAAGGTAGTAAACGCGAGAAATTAAATGTTTTTGTATTTAGGATAAAGGAGAATATTATTAAGATCTAAAAGATTTCACTCGGCCGTCTGTTTGTTGTAGGCTAATTTGGCCAGCTTTTTCACTCGAGATATCTTGCACTGGGTGTTAATTCCATATATTCTGCGTTCGGTGACCGAGCTGTACCACAATTTGTGTTAGGACCAACATTTTATTTGCTTAAAGTTACAGTATGATGAGACCCTTGGATGCAATAATTTTGAGATTAATATCCGGTTTTATCGGACCATTTCATATCTCCGCGATTCTTAACACAAAATTGTAGAAATAGCGAAATGGCCTTAGCGTTAGACAGATGTATAGTTATAATGTTTAGTCATCAATTTCGATTCAGCGGGAACATAGTATGAAAAGACATTCAGATTTTATTATCACTACAGTGATGGAGTTGCTATGTTTCAAATACGCCACTTGGTGCTTTAAAAGTGTTTTGGATTTTAATTTGCAATATCACAAATGGATATTTGACACATGGTAATTCGCGTGAATTATTTTATTATTTTGATCGTGTATAACTTAATTATTTTTGTACTATTATGTGACGTGTTAAGTTTACTTAAATCGATCCGCTAACCCACTGTAATTCTGTATTGAGGGTTTCTTAGAAATTAAAACAGTATGCTATAAAGGATGTTTTATTTGCGTAACCTTTTAATTCCTCACATCCGGCTCGAAGGATCACAAATATATCTATTAAAGACTAAAATATGGGTAGTAAATGACACTGTCAAATTAGGAAAAGAATTTAGATTAACAGCAGCACCTCATCATGTACTCATAGTCGTGACACAGGCCGTGTAAGTTGAGTGGACACTGTAGAAATTCGGGACATAGTACAGGTAAGTTATCTGAAACAAAACATAAGTTGTATGTATTGTAAAAGACTTATTGATTAAACTCTATTAATATAAGTACAAAAACATAGCCTCGGCGTATTAGATTTATCCCAGAAGGTTCATATGCGTAGTCTGGGGCGAAGATATAAAAGTATAAAGTGAGACTAATGTCTAAAGAAGATTACCTAATGGAAAGCTACAACCACAGCAGTAACCGTGTATGATAGCTTCGTCGTCTTCGCATCCCCTGGGCGGGCAGCCATTGCACCACATGCCGATACCCAGCCACGGCATGTTCCCTGCATTATAGAAGTGACAATTTTATTTACTTGGATGCAACTGACCTAAACAATTTAAGTTTCATTTATTCAAACTCAATATACCCTCGTCATTGAAAAATATGACAGAAATAATACTCACATCTTGGTGCCTTTTTGACAGCACCGAAGCCTGTATCGGAAGGATTATAAAAATAACATGTGCAATTCACTATTAAACACATGAATACACAAACTATACATTTCAAACCCATTGTCGAAGTATGCGTTTTGTAAGTTGTTTTTAAGCTTTATATTTAAATAGTTTAACTTAATTGGGTGAACAGTTATAGGTCAAAGCTACCGAGATAAGTAACATCATTATGGAAGTCAAACAAATATACACTAGTTAGAACCGTTGTCCTCGCCTGAGTGGGTTTTCATAGGAATAACATGTGCTGTGCTATTTCTACTAAAACGCTCTGTTGTAATGTGAATTTTTATCAGAATCGTTTGAGCAATTTTTGTGTAAAAGATTAACAAACATTTTATAAGGAAAAAATCTGTTTTATGCTATTAACATTAAAATAAAGAAACATTTGAAAAAACTATCTCAACTGTCATTTGAACATAAAAACACCAAAACAACGTTTAAAAACATTTATATTTTGAAGTACTTATAACTGAGGTTTTGGCACGTTACAAAACGAACTAAACTCCTACTCCTAATAACTAAATATTAATAATAATACTATAACATTTTTGGCTACAATACGGAAGAATGAAAGAACTATCCTAAACATTTAAAAAATGAGGTCACATTTCAGACATCTATCCCTAGAATTGGATAGATTGAATTTGGATCTTTCTTAAGGATTCATCTTTTTAATTCTTAAGGTTACAATATATTGGCACGTACCTCGTAACTAAACTAAAACGTTACGCAAGTAAATATAAGTTACGAAGAAAATCACAATAACGTGAAGAAGGTAACTAAAAAATTTAAAAACTACTCTTCAGGTGTTTTACAAAAAAATATGAAATATTTCGTTAGTTATTTCCTTCACATAACTGTCTTAATTTTTATGTATGTATGTTCAAGAACATGTGTTTCTTACACATTACAGTGCTTATTTTTAGAATGACATTCGTGTACTTATGTTTTAAGTGCAATACTGAGTATTTTTTCTCTTGTCGCCAATATTCTAAGTTTTAAAATGGCGGAGCCGTTGCCATGGTAACAGCAACATTTAAACCGAAGCCCGTTCAATCAGCTCGGTGCAAAGTGAATGATCCAGGAGTTCGTGATGAGGCACCGTCGGTGGAAGGAGCGCGCCACTCTCGTACGTCTTATTCCCCAGGCAGTTGCATGAACATACCTGATTGTGACAAATGATATATTATCTCGTTTGATTATGAATATTCCATAGTTCTACATAGAAATGACCGCCTCTGTAGCTAAATGGTTAAACGTATTGCCTAGCATTGCGTTAAGCGCGAGAGTTCGAATCCCAGGGAAAAAAATATGTTTCGCGAAGGCAGGGCACAGAAGTCTGATCAACCACTTGCTAAAGAACGGATCAGTGAAACGGACACAGAAATGTGTTCGCCCCATGCCCCACGAGGGGGAAATGGGCTTTCACACTACATTCAAAAGACTTAAGTATTGCTTGTAGTTTGCCCGAGTATTACACATTACTTAAATATGCCCTCTGGGACATGGGGTGAATGTTGATGAGACTTCTGTGCCATGCTCGATCGTAACAATCTATTATTACGTGGGATTCGAACCCAAGATCTCACGCGCTTGACAACACGTTGAATCGTTTAGTTTAGCAAAAGCAGTTACACATTAAACGCAGCGGTTTAAACTCCAAAATACAACTCATTTTGAAATACAGTTGAGTGAGAGGGGGAAAAAATAATTTTAAATAAGTTAACTACTTATATAATGCAGTTTTAAATAAAACACTTTAACGGTTTAAAACGCGATATATTAGTTATATATAGTCTGTGTATACCTAACTAGTATAGAGTTAAATATATCGCGTTTTAAACCGTTAAAGTGTTTTATTTAAATGTGTACTACTCGCGTAAACTATAGACAGTGTTTAATGCAGTTTTCATAATTTGCCCTAATAAGCAAGAGTTAAGGTTTAAATTACATTGCGCGAAAGGTGTGTAGAAAAAAATCGACGTTCGCGCGTAAGACACGGTAGCTTAATCGCTTAGACTAACAGCTCAGAGCGCTGTGGCTGTCGGTTCCTGCCTGTGTCGTAATTTTCTTAAATCTAAAATCGATATTAAATTTGACGTGACTACGCCTCTACAAACTAATCACCAAATATGTCAGCCATAATATTAAGACACTCACCGAAGCTTGGTCCTCATGCGACCTTTGTCGACTGGCTATGATATGCCCATCAATTGGTATAACGGTCTTGGAACCGTCTTTGTCCTCCTCGCGGGCTTCTTCTGCTTGCCTGGAACATCATATTTGATTATAGCTATATAGAATATAGCTTTATTTTACTTTAAATAATATAAGCTACGATAAGTTCTTATATACTGGTTATCATCACTCCACCGGGTCTAACATTTTTCTTATCAATTTATATTAATATATAAATAAAATCTGAGACATTTTGGACTTTGTCTGGAAATCTGGATATTAAATAGGTGGTAGGGATATCGAAGTTCTATCTGATTTACGAACCACGGTCCATAGATGAAAAAGCCGTAAAGTTTAAATACTGTCTATAGTTTACGCGAGTAGTAGACATTTAAATAAAACATTTTAACGGTTTAAAACGCGATATATTAGTTAAACTTATTTTAAAATGATTTTTTACTTCGGCGCGACGTTTCGTTTTTAGTGTGTGGATTTCCGAATATCCAAAGTCGATAGCGCATCTTGTTTAGATGCTATAGGCTGGGCTATTGCAACCACATGTGAATCACACCAGTGACCCCCATGTTTGTTTGTTCTCCTCTATCATAAAAAGTCCTCGCTTCAATGAAACTATTAGAAATACTTACATAGTCATGAAACGCAGGACCAGTAAGTTAATGCTAGCAGCGACCACAGCCAGGCCAAAGAGTATGAAGACCAGACTCAACGCTACATAACCTGGCTTGCTGGTTAAGGCTTGATCATTCTAGAAAACAATATTCAGTTTTTATTTCTGTGTATAAGTTTTACGCCAAACTAATTAGCTATATTTGAAAACTTTGTTATTTTTTACATGAAGGCACTATATAATTTTTAAAAATCGAAAATAAATTGAAATAAATTTCGACTCGGGCAGGACTTGAGCCGGCATCGTCAGCGTTCCGTGCTGTTGCTCTACCAATTGAGCTACCGAGTCTTACACCTCGTCGACGAATTTTTTTAACCTATTAATACATGCACCTCTCGCGCAATGTAATCTCAACCTTAACACGCATGCGTTTATTTTCTTACTTAATAATTAGCTATATTCATATTTTAGAGAATTGATAATATATGTACATACATCTTGGCCATAAAAAGAAACCAAGTTTTATCTTCAAACTTCTTGTTTCTCCTACCCAAAGGGTAAAAAATCAAGCCAATTGTTGACATTTTGCTGCTACAAATATCAATAATCGCGACATCTAGAATTCAACCCTCTAACTATCGTAGTTATAAAACACAAATTAAAAAAAAATATATTTATTTTTATTGCTGCTTTATAACAAGTACTTTTTTACCCATTCTGGCATACAAATATTGGCCGCATGGATACAAAGTAATACAGATCGACAGAGCATCTTGTTTAGATGTTCTATGGCTGGGATATTTCACGCGGCGATTGTCTGCCTTCCTTTCATAAAAAAATGTAAGCAGTTGAAATGACAAAATAAAGTTGCTATAAAAAATTTATATGCCTACTGCTTTTCTACACATTAAATACTGTCTATAGTTTACGCGAGTAGAACACATTTAAATAAAACACTTTAACGGTTTAAAACGCGATATATTAGTTAAACTTATTGAGAATGATTTTTAACTTCGGCCCGGCGTTTAGGATACTTTGGAGCAGCCGTGGTCTCGAGGAGACTTATACTACATATATATATTTCTACTCATTTTTAAGGAACTCTTCGTATAAGAGTACGGCTCGTACTTGCCCTGATTTTTTCCTTACCTGCAAAGCAACATAATCTCCGAAACCGATTGTAGTTAGTGTTACGAAACAGTAATAGAAACTATCGAAATAACTCCATCCTTCATACCGCGAGAATACTGCTGCGCCTGTAACATAAAATAAATCTTTCAGGAGCATAAAGTATACTATAACAACAGAATGTTGTAGTCAAAAATAGCAATAGTCTACATTTGCGAACAAACAGAAGAATAAAAAAATATACAAGAATAGCAAACATTTGTTATGAATTGTAAAACTAACTTTAGTGTCATTTTTGCCAAATCGTGGCATTATGAAAAATTAAACACCAATTTGGAATGAAATGGGTGGGACTCGAACCAACATCCATTGAGCTATCGTGTCCCATCCATTCCTCATTAAAGTTAAATTTTCAATCCAATCTGATTTTTCATTTACATTTTAACATGTTTATTTTTTGCAGAGATCAATACTCAGGATTTCTAGTATTAAAAAACACTAAAAAATCAGCATCTCTATAAATCAAGAGATAATTGTAGTAACGCACCAGTTGTTATTATAATAGATGATAACATTCCAGTAGCAAACATAAGGTTCATCTCAGTCGCCTCTGTGGTATTACATCGTAGGTAGCATTTAGCTCTCCGTATTACCACTGATGCAAACTTATTCAAACGCTCTCCAATACTTTGGAACATAACAAGACCAAGGGGAATGCCGACCTGTAATAAAACACAATATGGTCAAGATCAAATAATTGTACTTGTTGATGACTCTACCTTTAATCATTATGTAACAAAGAATATATGTAATTTAAAATCATTAAACAGTCATTAATGTGGTATGGAATAAAAAACATATTATGTGAAATAAAATACAACAAATATAATAAAGAAACTAATATATAATCTTTGGGCTTTGAGCTGTTGACCGCTGTGATTAGGTAATAGTTCTCAATTAAGCAGTCTAACAAGACAGTCAAATACATAAGTTAACTTAACTTGATAAGTAAAGCATTAAACTAAAAATTATTTACCATATCTTCTTGGTTAAATCATCCTTAAATTGCAAAAGTTGAGAAATAAAAACAACTTCTTGCAACAGAGACACCAGAAAACTAAATATTGTACACTAAAAAAGGAAACAAAATAAAATGTAAGCGCATAAAATTCATACTTAGGAACTACCTACAGGATTTAATAGATAAATAAAAATTGGAAAGAAAACATACACCATATTGGTTTTATTGATGATTTTACTTTTGTTCATATATATTCATCCTGGCCATTGATAAAAATATATTAGAACTAGAAAAATGTAAACTAAAAACTTAAAATATTACATGGCCTAATAGGTGTAAACACTTAAATTAAAAAAAAAAACATTTTTACCATAGCATACGCCATACAGAAGGCCTTTCCACCAACAGTAACAGGTGTTGAGTGTCCATAACCAATCATAGCTAATACGACTGTAGCAAAATAGAATGCTCCAGCAAACTTCCACTGTGGCCCGGCTTTGTGAGGTTTATTTTCTATTATAACAATCTCGATCATGTGATAATCCTCGGGAGTTATGTTGTATTTACGAACTAAGCCGTTCTTCATATCTAGAAGAGTATAGAAGATTACAAATGTAGAAACTTAGGACATTAGAACTAAGTAAAGCACCTTTAAATAATTAATTAAATATTACTTATAGTAAAAAACACTGTTAACTTTTTAAAACAGTTCACTTAATAAACAAACTTTCCTTTGAGAAATTTTGGTTTAAATTGTCAGGACATTATGTATACTACGTACCAGATAAAACTTCCCATCTTTTACTTTCTGTATCGGACTCTAAAGCGTCAAAAACCGCGGCCCCAATAAGTAAATACGTGAACGTGCAAACTACAAGGGATAATGTACGAACGTTTTGTCGTTTCATTTTAAATAATATTGGTATCTTAGATATAGAACACTTGATGGATTCTTCAATTTTGGCACATATCCTTAATTTTGCATAATATTATTATAAAATATATCTTGCTAAATTCTTATTTTTGTAATCACTGAGGAATTGGTAGTTTGTATAATAACAATACGAACAATAAGTCAAATATCAAAATTTCTATATGACACTCTGACGTTGACAGCTACAGTAAAGTAAACGTGTGGCAGCTACCGAAAGCAGTGTGCTTGGTGTAGATTGCAATAAACTAAATTTACTTTTTTCACTTAAAATCCGTATTTTGAACATTACAAAACCATTGCATCATGAAAGTGGTGTGCAATAAAAATAATCCGCCTTTAGGTTAGTCTCCTATTGGTGTATTGCTATAAATTTAAAGTGCTATTTTTGCGGTTCACTATATCTATAAATATTTCGTTTCCCAGGTGGTCTGCTGGCAGTAGAACTCTACAGATCCTCTGCAGGAAACGTAGAGATCGTTTGGGGTTCAGAATCTACAATAACACTTCCTAACTCTTCTAAAGTAGTGCCATATGGAACTAGTAATGATTTAATAAGAATTGTGGAGAATACCTTTAACAAAGCAGTTGGGCCCTTGCAGAGGGTTACAATGAACCACTGGCTGTCCTTCAGCTTAGTACTCGAGGAAGAAATCCCAAAATCTTTGGAGTACCTGAACAAAACTCTAGGCCCGCTAACTTACTTAGTTGGAGAATCGCTGACAGTGTCTGACTTGGCTGTCTTTAGTATTATTTATGGTAAGATTATATATTTTATGGATCTTAAAACAAGGAATATAGTTAAAGTTTATATGTTTTTAATCTACATCATGTAATCTTATCATACATTTATGTAGTTGATATGCAATTTTTTCAGCATCTAATAAGTTTAAGGAAGTCTCAAAATCAAATACTTTTAACAACATTTCAAGATGGATGAAACTTGTTGAATCCCAGGCATCTGTTCGAAAAGCATTAAAGGAGGTACCCAAAGATGTTATGGAAAATATTTCTAAGGCCGTCACAAGGTTTGCTTTTTTCTAAGACAATGCCTTACTTGGTCAAAAGTGTCAAGATTTTCCACCCTTAAAGTAATTTAAAAAAACTGACTGGGTTTTGACATGTGCTATATATTTTCTTATTATCATACATATAGATTGGACTACACCTACAAAATAAATTAAATGTTTAAATAGATATCCCTTTTTTGAATCATGATATATTTTATTTTTAGGAGATCTCCTCCAGCAAACAAAGAAACCACATCTGGTAGACAGCAAGAAGGAAAATTTGTTGAATTGCCTCATGCTGAAATGGGCAAAGTTGTGGTTCGGTTTCCCCCCGAGGCATCCGGGTTAGTTGGATAGTTTTAGCTGATATACAGTATCACATTTAATCTCTTTTATATGACAACCTATTATAATAAAAAATATGTTTATATGACAATACAAGGCCAAATTAATTGCTCTCATGAACCACATAAATAGGTTAATTATACAAGTCTAAGAGTCTAACATTTAATTTTACTTCCACAGTTTACTATATTTGACACTAACCGATATGAAATCTGCATTTATAGATATCTTCATATAGGACATGCAAAAGCAGCTCTTTTAAATCAATACTACCAGCAGGCATTTGAAGGAAAGCTCGTTATGAGGTTTGATGACACCAATCCTGCAAAGGAGAATGCTGATTTTGAAAAGGTACTATACTGTACTTGAACATATCTTGAGCATAATAGTTTCTCATAAAAGTATAAGGGCTTCCCAGATATACAATTAAGCAAATGATTCCTCACCTAAGCAGTGGCTTAGGTGAGGAATGGAGGATGTTCAATATTTGTTGAGAGGACAGAAGTCAGATATTATAATTTTCTGTTAAATGATTACAGGTTATCCTTGAAGATGTCAAAATGTTGGAGATAAAACCTGACATTTTCACCCATACATCTCAGTACTTTGATTTGATGTTGGAATACTGTGAAAAGTTGATTAAGGAAGGGAAAGCTTTTGTTGATGACACTCCCGCCGAACAGATGAAGAATGAGAGGGAGCAGAAGATTGACAGCAAAAATAGGAACAATTGTATGTATATAACATTATACAAATGTCAGTAATGTATATGATTTACTAAAAACTTTAAAAACCTTTTCAAACGTAACATTGGTAGAGTTAAAAATGTCACCTAACACTAATGGACTTTTTAAGATCTATTTCATTTATAGAAATAATGATGATTACAAAAAAAGATTTTTATTTTTTTGTACAGCTGTGGAGAAAAATTTGAAACTATGGGAAGAAATGAAGAAAGGCAGCGATGTTGGCATACAAAACTGTGTGCGAGCAAAGATTGATATGCAATCTCCAAATGGTTGCATGAGAGATCCAACTATTTACAGATGCAAGCCCGAACCGCATCCTAGAACTGGAACTCAGTATAAGTAAGTTTCAATTGAGATTATAGATCATATAGCTAACATTAAATATCTAATTATTTTTTAGATAATACAATTTCGCAGTGTTTCCCCTAATGCAATTTCAAAGAACACCCAAATTTCAATAGGTAGGACAGCCTTAAGATATCAAACACTTGAGATCCCTAACTAAAACATAGAACCAAAAAACTAAACAGTAAGGGGCTGGTTTCACCAAACCACCCTCCATCTTCAGTCCCCCTGTGACCACGACTACTGCAAAGCACCCGAAACTCGTAAAGTTAACAATATACTAATATGTGTACTAATCACATAAACTGTAGACAATACTTTCATTTACTCTGCTTAGGCGGAAAATAGTTGATATTATTCTGTAAGTTGTTACGTGAATTTCCTTAATCAAGCACAAAATGTGTCTTAATGAAAAAGTGCTAATATAGGACAGTAAAATAATTGTATAGAAATTAAAACAATAATTGCAAATTACATTTTTAGAAACTACTCCCTCCTAACACTTTTTATTGGGAATCATTACAGAGTATATCCAACATATGACTTTGCGTGTCCCATAGTCGATGCTGTTGAAGATGTAACCCACGTTCTTCGTACAATGGAATATCACGACAGAGACCCACAGTTCTACTGGTTCATAGATGCTCTAGGGCTTCGCAAACCCTATATTTGGGAGTACAGCAGGTTAGTCTTTATATATATGGCTTACATTTTGAATTTCCTCTATACGACTTACTATTTATTAATTAGGTTTTAATAGAAATAAATAAGACACAAATATAAACACTTAAAGCCACTAATGAAGCCAATGTAATTGGACATATCTATGTTTTAGACTGAGCATGACCAATACTGTGCTGTCAAAGAGAAAACTGACATGGTTCGTCGAGCAAGGACTTGTTGATGGATGGTAAGGAAAACCTTACATTATTATTGTACTAATTTAAACACAGATTAACTAAGAAAACCTGCTTTGCGATTTCATTTGCATTATTTATTAAATTTATACCGAACACGCGCAATTTGTGTTCTGCTATATTGTATTTAAAAACAATATATAGTAATTCTATTAAAACTTTATGGATGATAGTAGTATTTTCTCTAAGCATCAAGAACTCTTTTTGAGTATATAGTTGAATAATAACGTTTAAAGATTAAAACGCAAATTATATTACACTCAACCCTCACTCTCTCTCACTCACTTAATATGGAATCATTTTCAAATAAGTTAAAAAAAACGCAAAATATATTAGTTATAAAGAATTTAATCGTATTATTTCGCAGTTTAAACTGTTAAATGTATTTTATTTAAATACGCTTGTGAACTTAGTACAAGAAATATTTATTTTGGACTGAAGTTACATAAATATGTTATAGCCTATACATAACTTTTAATATTTCTTTCATCGCCTATAGTAAAAACTTGCTAATTTTAGGGATGACCCAAGAATGCCAACAGTACGTGGAGTGTTACGACGTGGTATGACTGTGGAAGGGTTGAGACAATTCATCCAGGCTCAGGGATCTTCCCGATCTGTTGTATTTATGGAGTGGGACAAGATATGGGCTATTAATAAGAAGGTAAAGTATAAAATGCTAGTAGATAAATGCATCTGGTTCCTTTAAAGAACCTTATTGTTAAACACCAAAAGTAAAAATTTCAAGACTACTACTGTCGTTTATAAAAAATACAAAATTTTATTAATAGGTGATCGATCCGATTGCTCCACGCTACACGGCTCTGGAATCAAACCCGGTACCGGTGAATCTGAAAGGAGTCACATCGGACTCTACTTTGAACGTCGCCCTTCACCCTAAGAATCCGGACGTCGGGTCTAAGACGGTCTGGGTGTCTCCCAGACTCCTAATCGACCAGGTAGACGCTCAGGCCTTGAAGGAGGGGGAGAATACCACGTTTATCAACTACGGGAATGTGATGATTGATAAGATTCATCGGTGAGTTTGATTGAAATCGAATTTTTAAAGTTCTTCCTTTGACAGTCACAGTTATTGTATACAATTTATATGTTTATTAAATGATAGATAAATCAAATTTTCAAGACGATCTTGTGGAAATTTTTCTTGCTTACTCAGGCAATTATAGACAGTCCTGATTTAAAGTTATATTAACCAGTTGAACAATATTCTATTTAACACGAAAGTTTTAAATTAAAAAAGTCCTTTTATTCTTTAAGTAAATGTTAAATGTATAAAAAAATTATTATTTCTCTATGATAAGCAATTTAAAAATAATGTTATATTTAAAATGCTTATATATAATAATTAGTTAGGTGACTTTAAGTGGTGAGTATACTAACCTGAGAGCTTCTCTTAGGGTCATTTTTCTTTAACTCTTATACAACTGACTTGGATCTTGTTAGGTTTAATTTTTACGATAAAAACGGTTAGTAAGTTTATTTTCTTGCAGCGACTCAGCCGGCAAAGTGACAAGCGTAGATGGAACTCCAAACCTCGAGAACAAAGACTATAAGAAGACTTTAAAGATAACTTGGCTCGCCGATTCGACCAAGTCACCTCGCGTGGAAGTGTACTGTGTGTATTTCGACCATATCATATCGAAGCCATTGCTGGGTAAAGATGAGGACTTCAAACAGTATATTGGGCATCAAACGAGGGTATGTACTGTGTATTAAAAGAAGGACAACCTTAAAGTAATAATTTCAAAAATTATTAAACTCATACAAATAAATCTTCAATGCAATGCTAGCGAGAAATGATCAGAATTAAAAAGTTCTGTTCAAATGATTATTTTTAATTTTTCAATCAACTATCCTTGCAGAGAATTTCTAATGCAATAATGGAATAACTGATATCTGTTAAATCGTGTACTAAAATAATCATGAAAAAGATCATCAAGAATGATTAAAGAAGAGTAAAATTACAGATGATTTTTATGTTATACCTACCTTTTTAAAATCATTGTATGAGGAATATAATATATTAGCTGTGCCCGCGACTTCGTTCGCGTGAAATAGTGACTTGGCGTAGAGTTTTTAATTATTTAGGCTGTTTATTAATTTATGTAAGGGCGCATTTAAGGCGGTTAAGGCAGCCAATCTATGTTGTTAATGCTACTTTGCCGCAACACTCTCACCTCACATCACTCCTACTCTAACTCCCACTCCTAAACTCCCAATGGGAGTGCCAATGGGATTCCCAAAAAGCCAAATAAGAAAGCTTCATTGTTCTAGCTTCAAAAACCACGAATTTCCAACCAAACTTCTCCCCCCTTTAACTCCTTACAATCCCGTTTTCGCAATAAAAAGTAGCCTATGTCCTTTCTCAGAGACCTTTTTTCTAGACCATTTGTGTACCAAATTTCATTCAAATCCGTTCAGTAGTTTTCGCGTGAAAGAGTAACAGACAGACAGACAGGTTACTTTCGCAGTTATAATATTAGTAAGGATAATAATAATTTGCGTTTGTTCTTTTTGACTATGTTTAACTAAATTCTTTTTCTATTGGCAGTGGGAGGTGCCAATGTTGGGAGAGCCCGAGTTGGCCAAATTGAAAGTGGGAGATATAATACAACTGCAGCGCCGCGGCTTCTTCCGTGTCGATGTTGCTCCTGCGCCCCCCTCTCCGCACACTTGCCGCTCTACCCCCCTCATTCTGTTCCACGTGCCTGATGGACACACAAAGGAGATGCCGGGACAGGTTAGTGACGTCATAGTGTCATTTACGCTAAGGGAATTGTTAAATTGTATATATAATGGGTATTCGGAAATCCAGACTAAAACTGGATTACAAAGAAACATTTTGAACCTACGACTTCTTGATTATAAGCCAAACATTGGTATCGTGAGACCAACAAGCCCTATCTTTAATATTTTATCAATATCGATTATAGCTATAAAACTGTAAAGATAATCAGTTGATGTTTATTTTTGGTATTCTTGGCATCATGACTTTTCTTTTATTTCATATCTATACTAACATATAAAGCTGAAGAGATTGTTTGTTTGATTGAATGCGCTAATCTCAGGAACTACTGGTTCGAATTTAAAAATTATTGTGTATTACCTAGAACATTTATCGAAAAATGCTATAGGCTATAAAACTTTGCACTGTAACTAATAGAAGCGAAGAAGCAGCGGGAAATGTGAAAAAAAGAGGAAAATTTTTCATCCCCGTGGGTTTCCGATGCGTACGCTGCGAAAACGGTTCAAGATAACCAAAAAATATCTACGAATGTATTAATCCATTTTAAATGGTTTTAAAAAAGAGTCTAGGACGCTATATGTCTATCTTTTAATATTAACTTGCCAGAACGACGGGAAGGGACGCGACCGACGTGGGTAACAGTTGAGGGTTTGCAAAAACGAAATAACGATTCTCACGAACGAAGTCGCTGACACAGCTATTAAATAAAAGAAAACTTTAAACAAATCAATCTTATATTTAGCCCTAATCAACAAGAGCATGATTAGATCTCCTGTTTAAGCTTAAGAGAGGCGCTGTTATAAACATAATCGTCTTTAAAGTCATACGGTTCATTTTTAACGTTGAAACTATTATTTTCATCAACTGGGCTGTTGTAATAGTTGTTGTTAGGTTCGATTTTGATACTGCAAAAACTGAATGGAGTGTCACTGGGACTGTATCTATCAGTCATCTCCAAGTTAAAGTCCACCTTTTCCAGTACAACTGTGTCTAAAGAGTCCATCGAAATGTCATCTAAGTCCAAATCTGGGCTTATTTGTCGTGGCTGACTCTTTGATTTTGGTGCGTTGGTTTTCCCTTCTCGCTGAAAATAAACAAAGGAAATATTGTAGTTGATGTGTTGCATGTTTAATAAAACACTAACGGTTCAAAACGTGAAATATATTAGTTGAATTATTTTTGACTGACCCGACACGGCAGTGGGTTGTGATTAAAGATATTATTATCTTTAAACTAAAATTTATGTAATATTTACATAAAACCCTTTTGACTTAATTTGTATTTGTTCATGTTAATTTTATTAGTGTAAAGCATCGGAAACGTCAAGTCGCTGTTAAATTAAATAAAAAACAAGCCGAAGTTATATCTTTAGCGTTTTAAGCCGTTACAAGAGTTTTTATGTGTACTACACGTGTATACTACAAACAATACTGTCTAAATTATAAAAAAAATTATATACCTCTTGTCTTACTGGAGATTCGTCATTTTTAACTGCAGTCTTATAATTTTCTGTCAACAAACACGCTGAATTTGTACAAATGTCTAATTTAGAATAATCCTTTAGTGGAGTGATTGGAGTCAAGGTGCATAGTTTTGGTGTTACACGTTCATGAATCACGTTCTTCATACGCTGAAATTTTAATTACGAACGTTATTAGTAAAAAATTATAATTCCAGATTATCACAATACTTACGATTTTATAAATTGATATAACAACATTCTAGCGAAATGCCCTTCTGAGTTCGATTCCCGCCTGTGGCATATATTTTAATATTCTTGCTCTTAGAGATTGGAACTAATAAAAATTACCTTTCTTGTTGCAGCGATTAGTATGTCCAATTCATGATCCGAATAAAGGGATTCCGAACTTATGTCTTCGTATACGGATTCCTAGAAATAAAAATACGATTACAAGAAAGAAAACATATTGGTTGGTCCAATGTATAGCTTTGACGGGTCGGGGGTTCGATTCCCAGCAGGTCCAACACATTACTTAACAATTTACAATTTTTCAATAACGTCTGAAACATTTAAATTCCGTGCGGGTTACAGGTACCTTTTGCAGACATCTTGAACTGTAATCTCGAGTTTAGGTTTCAGTGTATGGATTTCCAAATGTCCAAAGCCAATGTATGTCGACAGTTGAATGTTAATTAGAGTAGGCATGGAATTCTTATACCTTCCATGAAGTGCACCTCACGATTGTGTGAAGAATACAATTATGTCATAGGTAATAATAGCAATTTAACATTTAAGTTTGTTTTTTAAAATGTTTTTCAAATACTGTCTATAGTTAACACGAGTAGTACACATTTAAATAAAACACTTTAACGGTTTAAAACGCGATATTTTAGTTAAACTTATTTGAAAACGATTTTTAACTCCCCGTGACCACGGCTGCTGCAAAGCATCCGAAACGTCGGGCCGAAGATAAAAATCATTTTCAAATAAGTTTAACGAATATATCGCGTTTTAAAACGTTCAAGTGTTTTATTTGAATCTTTTCCAAATATTCGATTAATTTTTGTTTTGATTCTTGTATAAGCACAATTCCTAATTTCTCTTGCAGGTAACATAAAAGAGATATCGGCACATTTTGTTTCAATCAAGAAAAAGACAGCTGTCTTATCTAGGTCTTAAAGTTTAACAATCTCTACTTCTACTAATATTATCTGTTGTTTTTTTATACAATAAGAGAAAGCTAGGACTTGTTATTCGTAACCGAACACAGATTATGACAATGATATTATTATAAGAAGTTCTATTATTATGATAATTATCATAATGTAACTAATTTATGAAAACAGTATTAGTTAATTACTTTGTGTTCGTTTTACTTTGATTAAAGGGACTTGATTAATATAAACATTTAGTTATACAGTTTCTTTTATCTTTTTTGTATACCGAGGCAAAATTTCGATGTTTCTTATTGTACAAGTATATTTATTTATGAAAGAAATATAACAGAAACACCAATTGAATACAATTTTATAGTAAGAATAAAGTATATAATATAAAGGTGCATCCTTAACAATGTTTCACAGATAAATAATGTATAAAAGTAAGTTAACACAAGCAAATATCTTTAAAGAATTAATAATCAAGTACAAAAACACAATGAAAATAACAAGCCGCAAAGTTACAGTTAAGTCAAACGCAAGTTACTTTTGTATAATTACATTAACATCTTGTATAGATAAGATACGGCATTGCAAGTTATTATCACTAGATTAGGTGTAAATTTTTTAATCGTCCACGTCAGAATTCCTCTCATAATGGAAAAGGATTAAGAACTTGGTCAAACCATCAAGCTGGTCCAATACTAGTTGATTTGTCTTGCTGTTGTGTAGAGTTGGTCTGCAATCTAAACTATCGCCACTAAGAGACTCTGCTTCATAGGATTATATCTCTTCACGTCGAAACGTCGAAAAGATAACAATATCGAACTTACTTTTTAACACCAAAACTTGGACCAGTTGATTATACTAATCACTATATCAAAGGACGATCCAAAACCAAAATAGGACGACGCGTCTTATGTAGATATTATTTTTTATTAATCACGATAAAGAAGGACACACGTGCATACGGTTAACTCTATGGGAGGTGATATACCCCAGCCTATAGCATCTTAACAATATGCGCTGTCGACCTATTTTGGCTTTGGATATTCGGAAATCCACAGACTGAAGCCGAAACGCGATTATGCTTCACGGATTTTTCATCGGTGGACGGTGGTTCGTGACCCGGACGGATTTTTTATATTTAACGTCCAGATTTCCAAACGCAGTCGAACATGTTTCAGAAAAATTATAAATTTAACAATTAGAAACATTTAAATAAAACACTTTAACAGTTTAAAACGCGATATATTAGTTAAACGGGGAGACACCCCGCGACCACGGCTGCTGCAAAGCATCCGAAACGTCGGGCCGAAGTTAAAAATCATTTTCAAATAAGTTAAACTAATATATCGCGTTTTAAACCGTTAAAGTAGCCATACATTGCTAACAGAGACTAACGAGCCGGACCCATCAATTGAATCCCATGTTTGTCTATCCGCCTCTACCAAAAAAAAGAGACTGCATCAAATTTACTTCCTGCTATCACGATAACAAACATAGTTCTACTCACTTTCTGTCGAGTTCTGCTCTTTTTAAGACGCCGTCTGCACACCTTTCTACCACAGCACGGCACAACTCTATCACTGAGGGCATTCCTAACCTTCAAATTTGGTTTCCTAAAGGAACTGTTTACGTAACGGCGAAACCTCGATGTGTTTCTGCACGTCACGACAACACCATTTGGGCCTTTCGCCATCACTTCTCGCTCCTTTCGTTCGGCACGTTTCTTTCCCTGTCTATATGACACTGGGGTCCAGTTTCTGACACCCGTCTCTCTCGTGTTCATTTTCATCTAACTAATCACTTTAATGAGAATTTGTAACCTAATCTCGTAACTGACACCGTAATGTAAACACTGAAGCTATTTTGTTTTGTACGTTTCGTCCTGTGATTGACCGATTCAAGACTATACTGATAGTGGCTCGAGCAAGCGGAGGTAGGAATGTATTTTTGACACGTCAACAAAAATCTAGCTAGCCTGCGAAAATTCTTTCGTAAACATTTTTATAACAGACAAGTATTTTTTCAGATTACTCTATTTATTGCCTCTGTTGCTGATTGATTGAACCTGTAACTTGTGTAGAATTCCTGGATTCGAATTCCGGGAAAAGGAATATTTGTAAAGTTTTTTATAACATTTATGTTCCTAATATTCCTAATATGTTTTTCAATTTGACAGTTTCGTTGTACACAAAACAATTACAACTTTTGACTCTAGGGAATCGAAAACATGTTGATTCTGGATGAAAAAAGATTATACTTTATTTTTAAACCAAGCCGAGGATATAGAAAAGGTCTATTTATATTTTATCAATATAGCTAATTGTTCTAAGAAAAAAGTGACATCCAGTTTCCCTCTGTGGGGTATGATATAAACACATTTCTCTGCCCGTTTAATTTGTTTTCCCGGGATTCGAGCGCGCCCTACGCGCTTAAGGCAATGCCGGCCAACACAACCATTAAACCTAAACAGGATTTGTGCTTTAAATTTTTCTGTATTATCCAGGTAAAGAATTATTAATTTATTTAAGAGCTTAAGTCTCATTTAAAATTTAATCTTATTAGTAATAATATAGATATCTCGTAAATCAAATTATGGGAACTTTTTATTTTGATAAACAAATAAAATTGGTTTATAATATACGTAATAATAACAGTTTTCAAAATTTATTTTTCACCTATAGATAGAGTCGTATACCTGAACTATTGTTCCTATAAAAATGTGCCTTGGTAAGTTTGTTTCGATTACAATCAAATGTATAATAACATTACACGTGTACCAACGTAGAAGAAAGTGAAAGGCTTCTCCAATACACCATGCGCCGCGTCACTTACTCTAGTCGAGATTCCTGCGCGTGAGTTTATTATTGTAACACGTTGATGTAAGTCAGCAATATGTTTAAATTAAGTGATAAAGTTTATAATTTTGAATACGTGAAAATTCCGCGTTTTATCCACGACGGTTAAAGTTGGTTTAAAACACCAATTTTTGATACTATTTGTATTATCTACTATATGTTTTAGTGTGTTATATCGGAATCGTGTATGTTTTATTTAAACAGGTTTTCATTGCAGTAATTACTTATTATTAATCGTTAGTAAGACAAACAGTTTAAATTCAATCATCTGCTTGAATCTAGTTCTTTAGTTTTAATTTAACATGCTGAATAGAAGTTAATTTGAAACTAAAATGATGTGTGGTAAAACGTGAGACGAAATATCGTAAGATTTTAAAGATTTTTAGAAGTTAAAATAAAATAAATAATACGTCGGTAAGTTTGTAACATATTGTCAAACTCTAATTCCCTCTCAAAAATTTATTAGGATTTATAGATATGGCAATAGACTTTTGACTTGCTTGTCTAATGGTAGCAATGGATTGCCAATAATTAACGGGACTTGGGTTAAATCGCCACCTGATAAAATATAATATGTAATAAAATAAAATATCATTTTTCTGAAACACTATGGACTTCGTTTGAAAATCTGGATATTAAGTGTATAGTAGGAATATCGTTTTTTTAATCCGAACCAATGTCCACAGATAAAAAAGCGGTATTATCGCGTTTCGGTATCAGTCAGTGGATTTCCAATGTCTAAAGCCAAAATGGGTCGACAGCCCATCTTGTTTAGATGTTATATCACTTTCCACTCAGTGATCCTTATGCTTGTCTGTGCTCCTATATATTTAAAAAATAACTTTAAACATAGACTCCATATTGAGAAAGATGTTATGTCGGGCATAGTAAAGTACTACTACTTTTATATTAATAATAGTAATATAATAATCACATATGTTTTATTATAAAAATCTCTCATTGTTACAGCCAAAGTCCGCCCAGACGACTCAAGCGAAGCAGTCGGCACCTCCAGCGACTGACGCGGCGAAGTTGAACGAAGATATTACCCAACAAGGGGACCTAGTGCGATCTCTGAAGAGCGCTAAGGCAGAGAAAGCTAAAGTCGACGAGGCTGTAAAAGTTTTGTTGGAGCTCAAAGCCAAATACAAGGCGGCTACTGGTCAGGTATGTACATAGATTTCCAGTTGATTGTGTCCGTCTGGTGGTTCATCTTTGGCTGAATCTCAAGCGAATTAATTATTTCCATTATTAATTAACTGTGGCTGCAAACTTCCTCAAACTTTCAAGGAAGCTTTGGTCAACCTCCAAGGGTTTAGAAAAAATCTGAATTCTTTATTTTCGCGTTCTTGCTGCATACTATATTTTTAATAACACTTTTGATTATAATATCACTTATAGTATTAAAATAAAGAAACAACGCATTTTGTTTAGGTTATCTGAAACATTAATTTTCTAGGATTGGAAACCAGGAGCAACTACGGCTCCAGCCAAAACTCCCGCAGCGTCTGGTGATACGAATTCATTAAACCTGGAGATAGTCAAGCAGGGTGACCTGGTGCGGTCGCTGAAGACGGAAAAAGCAGACAAGGCAAAAGTCACCGAGGCGGTAGCTGCTCTTTTAGACTTGAAGGCAAAATATAAGGCGGCTACTGGACAGGTGAATAAACAGCTATTTAAATAATGTTAAGAATTCAGTCTTAGTTGGTTGCTCTCGTACAAAAAATATTGTTGACTACTTTCCTCTATAACAGTAAATTATAACAGGTAGGTACTGAAAATAATTAAGCTACGTAGGTAAATAGTACGCAAGATCCAGGAACCTTTGTGCAAGGGATTTGGATGGCTTGTCAAGTAACTTATTTTTAATTTTAATTGTAAAACTCTATGAAGCTTTTATGATTTGATACATTTTTTCTAGGAGTGGAAGCCCAGTGCGTCTCCGCCAACACCAAGTCCTAGTGCTGCTAAGCCTACTCCATCAGGGGACGCAGGTAGCATTAACGAAGAGATAACTAAGCAGGGTGATTTAGTTCGCTCTCTGAAGTCCGCGAAGGCTGAAAAAGCGAAGGTCGACGAGGCCGTAAAGGTTCTTCTCGAGTTCAAAGCCAAGTATAAGGCCGCTACAGGACAGGTACGTTAAGATAGACTCAACTTATTGATACATGCACCTACCGCGCAATGTAATGTAAAACTCAAGTTTTTAATATTTAATACATTTTTTCTAGGAGTGGAAGCCCAGTGCGTCTCCGCCAACACCAAGTCCTAGTGCTGCTAAGCCTACTCCATCAGGGGATGCAGGTAGCATTAACGAAGAGATAACTAAGCAGGGTGATTTAGTTCGCTCTCTGAAGTCCGCGAAGGCTGAAAAAGCGAAGGTCGACGAGGCCGTAAAGGTTCTTCTCGAGCTCAAAGCCAAGTATAAGGCCGCTACAGGACAGGTACGTTAAGATAGACTGAGTAAGTTGCGCACGATTTAACAAGTTAAAAAGCAATCATTAGTAATAATAATTTTTGGGAAATCAGTGAAATAGTTAGCTGATAGTATGGACTGATCACCCTTCCCTTCGGTCTAAAATAAAAATATGTACTTATCTTGTTTTTTATACCGATATAAAAAAACAAAATGTAAGGGATTAACAGAATTATTGCCAGTTTACGTCATTACACTTTGTTTTTATATGTCACAATGAGATAATATATGAAGTTCTTATTTATTTATTTTTTTGTTTAAGAGGTACCAAAATGTCAAAAACTTTATTCAATCATGCTGGTGGTTTTTCGACCAAACTAACCAAACGTTGTCTCATAACAATGTTAATCGTTCCAGGATTGGAAACCGGGTGCAACTCCAGCTCCGTCCAAGCAACCAGCAGCCACAAACGACACTAACGTGGCTGAAATTTTATCCAAAATAACCTCACAAGGCGATAAGGTTCGCAAGTTGAAGACAGAGAAAGCAGATAAGAGCGCAATAGATGTTGAGGTTAGATCATTATTCGATTTATTAATATTCTATTCGTGGCGGAGAAATGTGATTTCAGCCACTCACACTTATCGTATGGGGAATGTCCACTCTTCGTCATATTCTGGAGTTGGTAAAACTTAACATCACTTGTAAGGTTTTTTGATAATGGTTGTACATTCAACATCTCCTTGTGGCCTGAAATGGGCATTCTAAAATGAAATGGTTCACTAGGTGTGCGAATTGAATTAATTTTAAAAAGAACTTTATGATATTTTCAATGAAAATTGAATATCGTTTATGTTTAAATAAGTTTTGTCGTTAATCACAGGTGAAAAACCTTCTAAATCTCAAGGCCCAGTATAAATCAGTGACGGGAAAAGATTGGACACCGAATGCAACTGCCCAAGCCCCAGCCAAAACTGAAGATAAACAGGTACAACTCTTTTTTTAGTAAAAACATAATTTTGTTACAAAAAAAGAGTTTTCGATTGAAGGAGGAAGAGAATAAGTTCAATAACGTCAATTTCCTTTTAGTATGTGTAGTCAAATGGACATATAGCTCTCAAAGCATTTACGTTTATATAGAAGACAGGTTAATCCTAGTTTTGATTTGAAGAACCATTAAAATACGAAAAGATAAGCTAATTTGTATATATATTTATTATTGTATAATAGAATTTATTATAATAATACTGTTAATATTTATAATATTATTAATTCCTATATATATATATATATATATTTCATAAGCTATTTTTATTCTATCTATTCTATAAAGTCTAAAGAGATGTGAAATAACTTGGAGGTCAAGTTCTAGATAAGAGATGTAATTAGAATAGATTAGAATACGTCTGCTTAGGAACAACATTTACAATTAAAACCTATTCTAATAAACAATATCAAGAAGTAATAAAAAATTAAATTAAATACTACAATAAAATTGCCTCTGAAAAGGAAGCCTATACGATATTCTATCCTTTAAAGAAATTATAACAAGATTTAGCATAAAAATTTACTTTAGGTAATTAACAATAAAAAGGTGGATTTTAAAGCAATCTACTCTCTACAGGCTTCCACAATGAACGGTGCAAATGGTGAAGCGTTAGCTGCTGAAGTGACAAAACAGGGTGAAGTCGTCCGTGATCTTAAAGCAAAGAAGGCTGACAAAGTTAGTATCTGACACAATTATTAGTTTAAAACCAAGATCTCTCGCGAGAACTTGGTTTTAAGCTTGGTCAAACAAAAATTGTCTCGGTCAGTCAGCGAACAGTGCATCTAAGTGATCTTACATATACTGTCTATAGTTTATGAGAGTAATACACATTTAAATTAAACACTTAAACGCTAATATATCGCGTTTTAAACCGTTAAAGTGTTTCATTAAGATCTTACATATCTTAAAATCTATCCACAGCAACTTGCATGTATCAATAAATAAAAAAAATCGACGATGACGTTTAGGACACGGTAGCTCAATTGGTTATAGAAACAACAAAGAACGCCGGGAATCTATAATCGATTTTTAATTAATATATATTCATCATGTGCAATAACATGTGAAAAATATTCAATGTTTTCAAAAATCTATCTGTGAAATGAATACGGAAACGTTTCGCCCCTTGCACAAAGGAAACATATTATATGAAGTATGAACGTAACCGTACGACAGCATGTGTTTAAAAATTCTGTCCTTTTTGTAAGTTTTCTCGAATAAAAAGTGATTGAATTGCCTCATTGAATTACAGGCAAGAATAGATGCGGAAGTTAAGAAGCTTCTAGAACTGAAGGCTAAATATCAGCAAGAGACCGGTACAGCATACGCAGCTGCGCCGCCAAGAGACAGTAAACCCAAAGAGAAGGAGGCTAAGAAGGAGAAGAAACCGAAAGAGAAGGAGGCTAAAAAAGAGAAACCTAAAGAGCAAGTATGGTTAATTTAATTACATTTTGAATGATTCAAGATGTATTTTTTATAACGAAATATGTATATCGCGAAAAACTAAACAGAAAATCTAACTAGCTTTGAACAACAATGTATGAAGTTTATGATAGTGCTGAATGTCCAAAGCAAAAGGAAAATCTGATATTATAGATCATGATAAATCTGAACAATAAACAATTCCTGAATTTTTAATTCTCTAATTTAGGATACTATAGGCATTGAATATTTCCCTTATTGTGGATTTTCTTACTGCACATTTAATAATTATTTAAAAATGTTCTCTAGACTCCAAAGCCGAGTAAGGAGGAGTCGAGCAGCGGTGTGAAGAAGATTACCCGCCTCGGCTTAGAAGCGTCGAAGGATACTGATTTGTCAGAATGGTACCAACAAGTCATTACTAAGGGTGTGTATTATTGTCTATTCTATGAACATCTATGTATATTTGACGCGCTCGCGGTGTCATGGTGACAAATTATGGTTAAAAATCAATAGCTCGATCCTCACTGGCTCCAAAATGTTTCTACCTATTATAACTTTTCTGAAACATGTTAGACTTTCTGGACTCTGGAATGTCAAATGGGTAGTAGAAATATCGATATTCCATCCAAGTTACGAACCACATTCAGAGATGAATAAGCCGTGAAGATACTACTATGTCACGTACCATCAAATGAATCCCATGCTTTTCTGTCCTCTTCTATAAAAAAAGCTACATACTTGAACTTCCTGAATAATATAAGATATCAAGGTTGAGATTACATTGCTGGAGAGATGCATTATACTAATGTGTTTAAGAATTCGACAATGGCGTGTAGAACACGGTAGCTCAATTGAAACAGCGCAGACGCTATGTATGCTGATTCAAGTCGAGTCCGTATTGTAAATTTCAATCTGAAATTGATTTTTAATTGATATAAGATCAAGTATTCGTCACGATGTAACATATTTATGAAACTTATTTAACTCTTGGTCTTATGAAATGTTAATTTTTACTACTTTCTGAGTTGTTTCTTAATATTAGGGTTAAAAAACTTAAACCCACGCTGCTCTAGTGGGGAGAATTTGAAATACCAAACGACTGATGATAAACTGGTACACGGCTGAACTTGCGTATCACGGTACCTCAACGGTATCTCAATTGATAGAGAAGCGCGGAACGCCGGCGTGGGCTTGTTTTACGTCCGTGTCATCGATTTTTTAAATTAATATTTATTTCTTTGTTTGTAGCTGAAATGATCGATTACTACGACATATCCGGTTGCTACATCCTGCGACCTTGGGCGTTTAGTATTTGGGAGATAATCCGCGCCTTCTTCAGCTCGCACATCAAGCAAATGGGCGTCAAAGACGTGTACTTCCCCATTTTCGTTTCCAAGGTATATATCCTTTAAGGCTTTCTTTTGCACCTTTACAATGACTCCAAATTTAAGAAACTATTAACTCTATACTTAACAAAGGGAAATATTTAAACTTAGATATAATTACTTTTGTGAATTCCCAATTTATTCACATGTCTATTTCTCTGGTCTGTTTTATTAACAACTTCTTTGCCCTGCCCGACCGATATACTTTTCTACTCCTGTGATTCGAATCGAGGAACTCTAGCGCTATGCTGATTCTGTATTACACAGAGACGATCCAATTTCTTTATTAGTATTGATTATTATTTTCACTACTAATTTTTTTATGAATTGTTGTAATACAATACGTATTACATCAATTCACTCAATGCTCCTTTATCACATTAATATTCTTCTATCATATACTACTATATAATATGTCATACTACTAATAATATAACTTAAACAAAAATGCCCAATTGTTCTTTATATTGTTGTCTTATACTCTACCAGGCGGCGTTAGAAAGAGAAAAGACACATATAGCTGACTTCGCACCGGAAGTGGCGTGGGTTACCCAATCTGGTTCTAGCGAGCTGGCTGAGCACATAGCTATACGGCCTACTTCCGAAACCGTCATGTATCCAGCTTACGCTAAGTGGATACAGAGTCATAGAGATTTACCTCTTAAACTCAACCAATGGAATAACGTTGTGGTAGGTCTTGTTGAGTTTATTCTTAGATGAAACTACTTAACCGTTTAAAACACGAAAAATATTTTGCAAGAGTAATTATTTCTTGGTTAACATAGTTTGTTTTTAGTCCAATTCAATAACATGTATCAACATTAAAATCCAATTTTTATTAAATTTTTTATATAAATTTGATTGAAATAACAAAGATTATGCAGGTCGGATACGACCCTGCAACGAATGTGCTATTTAATCTAAGTAAACTATGATGACAAGTTTTAAACCTGTGGTATATCAAGGAAATACATGATGAGCTTTTATATACATAGCGATGGGAGTTCAAACAACCACAGCCGTTCCTGCGCACGCGTGAGTTCTTGTGGCAAGAAGGGCACACCGCGTTCCGCACAAAGGCTGAGGCGGACGAAGAAGTATTGCAAATATTAGGTAACTGAACAAAGTTTAGTTTTACTTTGAAACCTTGCAAATGCATACAAATTTTGAATTTGGCGTTAAAGTATTACATAACTATATGTCTTACATTATTAACTTGCATGGTACGAGAATATTATAATCATGAAGTTTTTTATTCTATAACTTAGACGAGTTATATAATAAAAAAACATCATCGCATAAATAAATGTACGACTCAAGAGAAATCCTAGGATTTGTGATTCTGAAAATAATAATTCCAAAGTCATAATTATTTACCTAGACTCATATATTCACGAATTATTATTTGCCTTGTCTTAATCCTTATTTATATACCTTGGATAGCAGTTTTTAGAGTAATGTACTCTCTTAGATTTGTACGCCCGCGTCTACGAAGAGTATCTGGCGATACCAGTGATAAGAGGACGTAAGACGGAAAAGGAAAAGTTTGCTGGCGGTGATTACACAACGACTGTGGAAGCCTACATCGGCGCTAGTGGTAGAGCTATACAGGTTATTATTCTCTTATAATATAGTAATTTAATCTAAGTACAAACAAAATTCCTTCTAAGATCATTAAAATAAAAACAAATTTGTGTTCGAAACAAATATTTAGGTTTAAAAAATTATTTTGATATATAAAGGTTAGTTACCACGCTCTCGGCTCGAAGGACCAAAAATATTTGTTACAACATAAATTACACAGGGAGCAACAAGCCACCACCTGGGCCAAAACTTTTCGCGAATGTTCGACATCGTTTACGATGACCCGGACACGCAGGAGAAAATGTTCGTTTACCAGAATTCGTGGGGAATCACCACTAGAACTATCGGTAATTGTTTTCTTCATAATTAATATATTATGTGTTTATGATTATCTGTTATAGTTTAAACATAACAATTGTTTATCGTAACTAAGTCTAAATTTGACCTAAAAAAGAATTTGTCCATTTTAGCCAGAAAGATAAGCGAAAAATGTAATTTAAATAAAAATATATTTTCAGGAATGTTACTATAATGAAAATACAAATATATATGCATTGTTAATATTTGTAAAAAAACATTTAAAGAGTATATAATAAATAATACAAATTAAATAGGAAATCATAGAATACTGCAAAATTCAATCTATGAATTTTATAGGTGTAATGGTACTGGTACATGGTGACGATCGCGGTTTGGTGCTACCACCAAGAGTAGCTGATATTCAAGCAATAGTGGTGCCATGTGGAATCACCGCATCCAGTACTGCTGAAGAAAGGAAAGGCCTCATGGACTCCTGTCAGCAGCTGGTTGAAGAGTTGAAGGCGGCTGGCATCAGGGCAGAGGGAGATTACAGGGAGAACTACTCGCCGGGTTGGAAGTTCAACCATTGGGAGTTAAAGGTAATTATTTCACCAAGTCTAAACTATTAATAATTTTCTAAAGGTAGTTTACAAGAAATATCAGATCCGCAGCTCTGTTGTTGTAACACACAGTGGTGAAACATTCAGATGTATCACCACAGGTAAACAGTGTACATGTCAGCCAGGGCGGAGTCTGCTTAACTACTTAACATGGTAAAATCACAAAGCCTTCCTTTTCAGTCATCTGATAAAGAATTAGAAAGAGACACTAGATAGAAGTACAGAGTATAATAAATATACTACTAATACGATTTTCTAATACTAAATCTATACTAATTAATGTTTTTTTAGGTCTACAAAACTAAGCTTTAATATATAGATATGGTATACATACAAAACGTCTTAAAAATTAAGCTCATAAATATGTAGACACGACATGCAAATAAAGTTTAATTGTACAAAGTTAATAATTAAATCTAATATAAATGTCTTATTATTAATGTATAAAAATAATCTGTTTTAGGGTGTACCAATTCGCGTGGAGCTAGGACCTAAGGACATAGCAAAAGGTGAAATAGTCGCCGTGATCAGGTTGACTGGAGAAAAGCGAACGCTTAAACGGGATACTGCGCCCGCGCAGATTAGCGACAGTCTGCTTAAAATACATGATGATATGTTGAGCAAGTAAGTAAAATATATATTAATATAGTTTCTGTTCCCTCATTGTTTTGATCTTATATTATTGAATCATATTGAATCTTGTGTGTTGTCAGCAGTAGCATTTATTTAGAAAGTGCCAAGGAGTTTTTTTTTAAATATATATATATATATATATATATATCTGTATCTGGGAAATACATGTTTAAATCTATTTTCACAGGGCTACTAAGGAGAGAGATGAGAAATTATCCTTTGTCACAAAATGGGATGATCTAACAAATGCCCTGGAGCGGAAGCATATTATCATGGCCCCATTCTGTGGAGAGATATCATGCGAAGACAACATTAAAAATGATAGTGCAAGGTTGGTTTAAAATTTATCTCCATTTAACTTTCCAAATATAAAACTTGTCAAAAATTTCTCAGCTCTTGTGTGCACTAAAATTTTCAAACAAGAGAAAGAGCTTAATCAAATTATTTAATATTTGATACACTTGCAGAAATGAAGATGATCAAACTACAGAGGTTAAAGCTCCATCAATGGGTGCAAAATCCCTTTGCATACCTTTCAAACAACCTCGTGAGGTGACAGACAAGGACACATGTATACATCCGGCATGCAAAAATAAGCCTAAATTCATCACTCTCTTTGGAAGAAGTTATTAAGCATGACAAAAGTATATTTTTGTAAATGAAATATTTAAATAAACATTGTATAAAAATATATAATAATTTTACAATTTCATTTAGACACATTTTTTTCATAATTGCCTTATGCGATGTCAACATTTCTCATTCTCCTGTAAAAGATCTTCAAGTAATTGAATCCTCCGTTTCTTAGTATTCAATAATTGTAAAAATTTACTGTATAGAGAGGATTCAAGAGATATTTTCATTTCGGCAAATGTTTCCAACTCTTTTTTACATTTTTCTAATTCTATAGATAACTTTTCGTTTTCTTCTTTACATCTTAGTATTTTTTGAGTCAATTTGTAATTTTTATCTATGAGGGTGTCAATTAATGTATTCTTCGGCTCAATAACTCCATCTTTATATAACAGCACTTTACCATGTACTAAAACAGCTGTAGAGCCTTCAAATTTCTTTTTCCAACAAAAACTTGCAGGGTCTAGGCTGCTTGTAGCAAAATCAAATACATATTCGGTACTACAGTTTTGTAAACACCTTTTCACATTCGTTTGATATGCGGTTTCATTTTCGTCAACAATGTCGGCATATTTCTTAGCGGCTTCTAAAGAATATTTACCTGACCAACTAAATTTGTCATCAAGTAGTTGAATATGAAAAAGATCTACGGAATTGTTTATCCATAATATTTTGATATAAAGAGGCTCTTCTTTTATTTCTAATTTCGATATAAATACTTCGTCTGAACAGTCCATGATATTCTCCAATATTATTTTTAGTTAATCGAGATGATACAGTTATTCCGATTTGACTTACTCGATATCAATCTTGTTTTTATTTACAGAAAAAATTGTAATGTTAATTAAAAATCAAACATTTTTTTTTTGATATTACTTTAATAAATTCATTGTAAAAGAAAGTAAATAATGAAAATACTATAAAACGAATTGTATATTTGTGACTTGTGTAGTCTACTGTCATTGATGTCATGTCTAAGAAACTCACTCACATAAAATATTTAAAAAAAGAAACTCACAGATTCAAACTACGATTTTTTCAATTGAAAAATACTATATCTGTGGTTCTTTCGTCTAAACTATTCTTCAAATGTAGATTTTTTTTGTTATTCAAACGTAACCCAGATTTGTTGACATAATTATTTTATATTTTTCAATATGACTAACATGATCAAAAAATTACTATAAGTACTTTTCATTCCCAAAAACACTGCTACAAGTATTATACATACACTAAAGAATAAGAAATATTTAAACATTTTTGAAAATGTGTATTATTTTTTACATTTTAAATGTTATTATAGCAGACGAGAGAATCCACAAAGATTATTACAACGATTTTAAATCTTATTTTTATTAAAGACTTCTGTCTCCTTCACTCCTACTTGTAATAATTACAAGTGCCGAAAACAAAGTCCTTTCTCACCTAAGAAGATTTTAGTTGCGCTCTCTACTGATATATCTACAATTAGTGACTATTAAAATTCATGGCTAATAAATCTTTCATGTGGCTGTACTTTACATTTTTTTTATCGCCTTGGTCACACGTTACTCTAGATTTTTTTAAATTTAATAAATTTAAGAACTTTTCACATAGTGCCTTTTCCATATCAATTTTGAGATTCAGAAACTCTTCTGTATCTTTGAGGCACCTATGATATTCTTTAAACATGTTTTTACATTTTTGTTCCCAATGATAAGCTTTGCGAGTTAACTGCTTATTTAATCCGAGCAGCACCTCTACTAAGTCAGGTTGTTTTATCTTTGGAGAGGTATCTTTTTCAACGGGAAGAAATCCTTCTATTATAACTGCGTCAGCGTCTCTTCGTTTCCAATAGAAGAACCCACTTTTAAATTCATAAACGTAATCTCGTCTCTGTTGCGTTAGGCAATTTTTGAGCTTATTTAAATAGTCCTTCTCAGTTATTTGAAGATTTCTACTGAAGCTTGCCAAACGATTTTGTGAAAATCTACCTTTCCACAATTTTTCCTTCGTGTATAAATACATTTCGAAGGAGTTGGTCTGCCAGCCGATTAGTAAGTAATACCATTCTGTTTTTGTAACTATTTTCGTAACGGTTATAGCTTCATCCAAATCCATTATAATTGTTTTACTTTATTTTTGGAATTTTAATTTGGATAATTTTTATGTCCATTTTAACGAATTTTACTCAGGTGTAACAACATCATATTCAATCTTTTCTTAGAAACGATGTTGACAGATTTTAAGTTTTCTATCACGGTCACTTTGCCCTATTAAGAGTAATGAATAGACAATGTTATACAGATTATTATTTTTTATCTTATAACAGGGATGAAAGATGTCACCAGATTTAAATTTTTGCAGGTATCTTAGGCTACCAGTAGCCTATTGATTAATATAATATTAATATATTATGGAACCGGTGTGCGCGTAAACAGCTGAGACCGCTACCCAGCGCTAGTCCAAACAATAACTTATTTCTAAAGTTCATTGAAAGTAATACACTAATAAATACTATTTTCCTTTTAGCTTCGGCGGTTTTTTGCCACGAAAGGTCGCCGCCGCCAAGATTATTGTATTTTTTTTTTCATTTTCATCATAATATAAAGTTTATACTCAAAGTTTATTTAAGATCCAAATCCTCGAGCAAGAAGAAAATAACATTTAAATTTGCACACCGCGATTCACTTTTTTTTTAAAATAAGCCTCTACTCAGACATTCCGGTTATAGTGTTTTAATAAATATTTATTTATAACAATGGGATATTACATGGGAAAGGTGTCACCATCCTTTTCTTAACTGAAGAGACGTTGACTCTTGCCACTATACTCGTGAAATTGTTTACTGGGGATGGTATACATTCGTGCTTATACTTTTCCCCATTCTTTTTGCCCGAAGGTCTCCTTCATCCAGTAGTTAGGAAAATCGACCCTAGTAAATTGACCGTGTGTTAGGACGGTTATAAGCTGTGGGCCTCCGAATATATCCACTGTGGTCTACAGTAGTGGTCTGTGGTTACCTGCATTACACAATTACATCTGTGGTTAATTTGTGTATTTCAGTGGTGTGTTTTGTAAATTCTTTGGCGATATATTTATGAAACTTTCTTCTCTTACTAAATACATTTTATGCTTGTAATAAGTGCTTTATCTACACGTTAACGTTTGGTTTTTCGTTCGTTATTGTTCTTACAAAAACATTTGAAGACTACACTACCAAACTTCAGGCAGCATGAGTAGTGATGATGATAGTCATGAATCAGGCGTGGACGATACAGAAAGGGTTGGTATAATTATATAAACTGTTGATATTTAGGCTACGTTATCCTATTACGTAATTCTGAGAAATCATTGTCAATATCTATAGAAATAATATATAAATATATTATTTCTTTAAATTTTTTAGACCGCTATCAGACAGGAATTGTCCACAATGTCCTTTGAGGATCTTCAAAAGCTCAAAGAAAAGGTGGGCGCCAAAGTGTATAAAGAAGTTGTCTTTGGTAAAAATACAATTAATAAAAGTGAAGATAAACCTAGAGTCTTCAAACGAGAAAACAAAAATAGACCAAGGGAAATGAGTGCCAAGAAACCAGTTAAAATGCAGCTCGATATTGGTCCAGTTCAAAAGAGGGAAGCTCGAGATCCAAGGTTAGTTTTTATTTTAATGATTGATTTTGTATTATCAGGTTTATACAAGATAATGAACATATCATGGTAAACCAAGTATACTTGTGTGACCCTTGTTGGTCAAATGATACATACAATGGTAGTATGCATGTACTAAAACACTTTTTTTAAATATTATTTTTGTAATTTTATCTTTGAAAATAATATACTTTTTAATAAATACTGTTAAATGTGCTTAGGGCCACAACAAACCCTTGTAGTTGCTTGCAGCACTGTGGCCTGAGTTGTCTAGAGTTTAAATAATTATCGCTATATATAAAAATCTATCAAAACTTCATTTAAATCTGTTTCATCTAGTTTTCTGCACTTGACCATCAGTAGTAGGCCATTTGGGGCCAACTAGCTAGTGCGTGTCATTAGAATGCTGTCCAAATTTACCGTCACAGGGCCTGTTATAAAAATGAAAGTTTCATATATTTTTTAGATTTGACCCCCTGTGTGGTACATTTGACAAGAAACAATTTTCCCGAGACTATGGTTTCATTACGGACATGCAGATGAACGACATGAAAGCCATTAAAAGAGAACTTAAAGCATGTACAGACCCCGACAAACAATTGCAGTTAAGACGGCTCTTGCAAAGGTTGAAGGATAAACTCAGGTCAAGTAAAAAAGAAAAGAAAGAGCAAGAAACAAGAGGAAAAGAGATTGAACAGGTTGAAGAAGAGCTTAGGCAGGGCAGACAGCCACACTTTAAGAACAAATGTAAGTTCATTATAAATATCTATTAGAGAATTTTTACAGAAAAAAAAAGATGGTTACTGACGTACCCATATAATACGTAGCCAGTAACCTAAATGTGGTATGGGCAAATGAATTTTTGTGTTTGTTTTAAACAATCACTTTTATTTGCAGGTAAGGTTTCCGACTATGTTTCCTTGTATCACAATTATTTTTTATTTTTTACAGCTGAAATGCGTGTAGAGTCATTGGTGAAACAATATGAGGAATTAAAGAAAGAAGGCTCAAATCGAATACAAAGACATCTTAAGCGAAGACAGCAGAAAATTAAAAAGAAATCCTTTAGGACTCCTGTTGGTGTTGAGTAGTTTTAAGTGTTGGTCAAATAAACAGATTCTTTAAAAAAGATTTTTATTAATAGCATCACCGTATCAGTACTTCAATTTTAGGTCTTTAGTCAACGAATTAAATCTCAAGCAACCCTTGTAAGAAAAACGACTTATGTTTCATGTAATTGCAGATTTTTCCAACATTCTTATATAAAAAGCAAATTATTTAATTGTATTTATTAACAGTATTAAAACTTAGTAATTCACTTTGGGTCAAATGACTTCTTCACCACAGAGGGCATCCGATCTGCCAGGGTTGGTCGGTGAAGTAAATGTGCATGGTCACAACACCGGTCTCCCTGGATAGGTCGTAGAGGCATTGGGGTCCACGAGGTACAATTGCCTGAAACAGATATAAGAGATAAGACCAAAACCTTGGCCTGGTAAAAGGCACCAGAATTTTTACGCTGGATTTCTTTGTGTACAAGTTATTACAAGTCCATATGATGTAGGCAAATAGAAAACTGATACAATTAGTATACCATTTTCAGACGAAGCAGTAGAAAGCATTGCGTTTTGATCAAAAGCTGCTGCGTTCGAAATTTTAAATTTTTATAAGAAAATAATAAGAATAATTCCTAGAAAAAAGTGTTTCTGGGCCTTAAATAATACTGCGCATGACACGTGAATTTTTTTATAAGTAAACACTTTAACGGTTTAAAACGCGATATATTAGTTAAACTTATTTGAAACTGATTTTTAACTTCGGCCCGACGTTTCGGTTTCGGATTTGCGGCGCCGTGACCACGGCTGCCGCAAAGCATAGCATATCGCGTTTTAAACCGTTAAAGTGTTTTATTTAAATGTGTACTACTCGCTTAAACTATAGGCAGTATTTAGTCTAGATAGTGTTTGATACTAACCCTAACAGCTAGTTCTGGTGGTCGCTCGAACCAGTCGCGTCTTCCGCTCACGAGCTGCAATTTACCAGCGACCAAGAAGCCAACTCCTTCTAATTTGGCAGAGTTGTAGAGGGGGAACCAGGGGTAGATGCCCTCGGACGTGCAGGGGGTGCTCTCGGACATGTTGTAGTAGTAGTGACGACCTGACGACATATTTTCGTAATTTAATTGAAATCGGTTATTATTTAATTATTGACAAGTATGGAGTTCACTTGATGGGAATACCCTATATAACATCTAAGCAAGATGCTCTGTTGACCTATATTGGCTTTGGATATTCGGAAATCCATAGACTGAAATCCAAACGCGAATAAACTTCACGGTTTTTTCATCTATAGACGGTAGATCGTGATAAGAACGGAGTTTTGATATTCCTACCGCCTATTCCAGATCTGTAGACGTTGTCCCACATGTTTCAGAAAAAATATAAATTGAAAAATTAAAAAAAAATGTGTGACCCGGTGGGGCTCGAATCCACGATTCGTTGATTATTCATACCTTTCTACTATTGGACCATCAAGCCCGGCGATATATGTGTAGCCAAAAATATACTTATACTTTGAACTTACCCATCCATGGTATGCAAGCTTGTTCTGTGAAAATACTGCTTTTAATATCAGCTTCGTCTCCCGGAATAACCAGGAGTTCTTTGTTGATGCCAGTGACGAAGAGTTTGTTTTCCCTTATTACATCGACGAAGTCGTTTCTCGCGTCGTACACGGTCAAGGAAGATGCGCCTATGCGAGGGTAGAATGCAATATTAATACATATTTTTTCGTATGTTTTAAACATAAATGGTATTTATGATTCAGTATTTAGAAGTATATTAAGATTTACGAGCTAATATAAAAACTCGTAATTAGACTATGTTTATATCTGATAAGACAGGATTATCAACACCGCTGGTAGTCCAGACAATAATACAAATTTTTATATATATATATCCAGGGTAATCTTGTATAACTTACTTTATTACTTTAATAATAAACGAACTGTGACCAAGAACAATTTAAAATTTACCTGGGGATACGAAGAATATCTGTGTTGTCCAGTAGGTCCTGCGTCTTTGTCCAAAAGTGACTGGCGGCCTCCATTCTGAGAAACCTTGGACTCTCCAGTCAAACAGAGCGTCGGAGAATTCGCTTTGGTCAAGCTGTAAAGCGTTTGATGTCGAAAAAAAAACCATTTTCATCTTACTTAACAATAAACTAACATAGTATTTATTTATTTGTCATGTCATTTAAATAATTTAAACAAGGGTTATTGTTAGAGACATATAACTCGTGTTCTGCGCTACGAAAAACCAGCGTGAAGAAGCATCATAGGTATATGACGTTACCCAGAAACCAAAAAGTAGCTATGTAAATTTGCAATTTTGATATTTACGTTACTACCATTAGTCCAGCTCACGAATCACTGTTCACAGATGCCACGTCACGGCAAAAGCCGTGAAACTTGATCGCCTTTTGTTTTGGTCTGTGGATTTCCGAATGCTCAAATCCAAAAGAGGTCGACAGTGCATCTAGTTTATATGACTGGGGTATTTTTCCTTCCTACACGTTACAAGGTTCGCTATAAAGCAATACAGATACTAACAGCGATTTGAAGACCAGCAATTCTGTCGGTGCTGTCGAAGAAGCTGCAAAGCACGCGTTCCGGGTGGCAGTACATGGTCAAGTTGGAGTTGGGGAGGTTGGCCTCACCCTGAGTGACACTCCAGCCATCGAAAATCGCGCTGAGGACAGTACGTGGAACATCGAAGAAGAAATCGGTACCGACGCCTAATCCGACATTGAATTTCACTGAAAATAATTGAATGTTAATGTGAATAAGGCTGTAAGCGAAGATGTATTTACTTTTAAGTTAAACTTTTATTTTTTCAAACAAAAGTTTAATGTGTGAATTGTAAGAAGTAGAAGTATTAAATTAAGTATTGTATGCAGTTTACGCAAATAGTACTTAGTAAAACACTTGCAACGGCTTTTAAGATGCTTTGCAAAAACGTCGGGCCATACACCAGATTAAATTAAAATAAGTTATCAAATATAGTTTCCGTTTTAAACCGTTTAAGGTGTTTTATTTAAAATTAAAATAATACAAACCTCTTAATCCGCGCCTGAGAGCACCCTCTGTAACAAATAAATTTAAATTAGGAATAGTTTAAAGCTAAGTACACAAATGATTGTATCTAAATAACACAAAATTAGATAGTATAACAATAAGATAGTTGATAAAAATTCGAGAATTTCTAATCAGCTTAATTATTTAAAGCAATTAATGCCTTTAGTAATTTTTAATGAGTTATATCGTCACGTCAAAAATAAAACAATAAGGCGTTACGTTACGTAATAAACACGAAATATCTAGTCAACACGGAACAGTTTTTGGGCAAAAGTAAACTAAATATGTAACGTTCGTCGGCCTCGTGGGTCTAATGGTAGCAATGTATGGCTAATAATCAACGGGTCGTGGATTCGATCCCCATCGGGTCCAACATGTTTCAAATGGTTCAATTTTTTTTCTCAAACATTTTAGAATTCTTCATATTGGGTGATAGGACTATAGAAATTTCGTTCGGGCCACGAACCACTGTTCACCGATGAAAAAGCCTTGAAGCTTAATTCCGTTACGGTTTCATTATGTGGATTTCCGAATATCCAAAGCCAAAATGGGCTGACAGCGCATCTTGTTAGGATGCTATAGGCTGTATATCACCTACTATCAAGAAACCCCAGGCTCGTCTGTCCTCCTCTGTCATTAAAACACAATAGTCCTCTGTTTTTTCTGTCTCCACCCGCCTGTGTTTTTCCAGTAATATAAAAGTGTGTTTAAATTGCCTTAGACATTCCTCATGTCAACAAGCATAGTTGGCTTAGTCTTTCCAAATGACTTCTAAATATGCTTACCAGCGCTACAAGCAAACGCGAAGGCGACAAGAACAGCTAGGAGTATCCGACCCATCTTGAACCACCAACAGTGACACATATTCAAATTTGAGCCTCGATTTATAGAGATTCGGGATTCACATAATCCCTAAGATTAGATATTTCATGGATCATGACTATCTTCGATTAGGTTTTAATTAATTTTATCACTAGTTTAACGTCCACGGCTTTAATAGACTTAAAATAATGTCGTGATAACGTGAGGTGTTCACATTAAAATAAAACTCCTTTAACGGTTTATAACGAGTTGTTTTTCGTTAAATTATTCACAATGGAACAACGGCCCGACGTTTTGTTTAAATTTACTTTTTGTCGAGGAAGAATTTAGACTAAACAACATCACATTACGATCGATAGCAGCGAAGAACCAGTAGAAAAAAATTAAAAAAAAACAATAATTAAAAAAGGATTCAAGAAGGTTTTGTGTTTCTAAAAAATGGTTGTAGGTACCTAAATAAATATTTTAAATATACTGTCTCTATACTCCTGTTACAAAACGCACTTAGAATTACAAATCTCGAAAAACACAACCAAAAGTGAGTCGTGTAAGGTATTTAATAGAACGTAAAATCCAGTGAAACGGACATATATTAGCTAGTTTGGTTATAATTTTATTATCTAATGTACAAAATATTAAGCTGCATTATCTTTCGCAGATATGAAATGATATAGAGATTGGGTATTCTTAACTTTGATAACAGAAAACTGAAATATACTAATCATTCATTTTTACTGATAATTTAATTGATAAACACTCTTCTTTACAGCTCCGTTTAAAGTATCCATTATATCTTGTTGCCTAATCTCTTATTCGAGTTGTTTAAGAAGAATCTTGGGTCCACTAAATGAAAGCTGAAAGTTATCCCTTCATATATCTAACTAAGATACTATTGACCTGATATATTTTCAACTTAGAATATTTAAAAATCTACATGGACAGACGAGCACGGCGTTGACGTGATGGAAGGTTAATACCACAGCCACATAACGTCTAAACTTGATGCGCTGTTAGCTTTCCTCATTAGCATCATAATACTGTAGTCGAAACGCGACTAAACTCGGCTCTTTCATCTGTGACCTGAGTTACATGACCTGGATGTTATTGAATGTCCAGTTTCCCTGAGAATGTCTGTAGACAAATGTACGCCTCTCAGTTTTTTGTAACACCAATTTTATATCCAACTCTTCATGCAGAGACTTAACATGACCGTTGGTATGTTTCCTCCGTGACCGCGGCTGCTGCAAAGCTACCGAAACGTCGAACCGTAGTTAAATATGTTAACTAATATTTCCGCACTTTGAGCAAAAGAGCAAATGGTATCAGCGACTGAAAATTCTGAGATAATTTTTAGAACCGAACCCAAACTCGGTGTGAACATTGGCGATGTTCTACTGCGGGAAATAACTGAAAAGTTTATTTAATTAACACAAATTACAGTAGTCCATCTATAATGCTTTCAATCGTGCGGTATACAGTTCGATCCCCGATCGGGTAACCATGGCAATCTTATTACAAATTACCATTATTTAGAATTTATGTTGACTAAGTGTTATTATTTCCAGACAATCATCCTTCTTCGTGAACCAATCCATTTTTCCCAGGATACAAACCCTGGGCAATGCAACACACGGTACACTACTGGGCCACAGGGGAGGTCAAACGAGGTTCCTACATTAATTATTCACGTTATTTTCGTCTATCTTTCACATGTAACACTTTTTATCATTGCTAGTTTAATCTCGTCTATAATTCGTTTGATAAGTAAATAATTCCGTTGCTTAAAAATATTGTTTTTCTACATTTATAATTAAAGTATGAATAATACAATCTATTCATGTATGTGACGTCTATAACTGTCGTAATGATTAAAATTATATTATTATTTATGACTAATAATATTCGGCTGAAAAGATAACATTTTCACATTTTTTTTTAGATTTTCGTAGTACCTACTTTGCTGTCTGTCCCCAAAAATAACTCAAAAATCACGATGTCGCTTTATTGACATTTTTGAATGTATGTTTTACATGTCCCACTATTACAACGCATGTTAAAAGAAAAAATATAGTGTTTTCGCTATTTTTGTCCAATTTGATTTAATTAATTTCGAATTTATTTAAGTATTTACAGTACACAACCTTTGGTACCGGTGTCCGACACACTCTTGGTGCATTTCCGGTTTTATTCTATATCTAAATTGGCAAAATTAAGGAATTTAATGAACCTCCTGAGAAAATTTTGCAATACTCAACCACGTTTTGCTTATCGATATAGCTAGGCGTTTTATATTTTTTATATTCATAAATATGTCTAATATAAAAGTTTATGTTTTCCACGTACATTTCTAATAGTATCGTTTTTTTATTTCTTATTATATAGTCCAGATTAAAGAAAACAACCTATCAAAATCTGTTCCGTAATTTAAAACAGCTGATAACGATACGAACGAAAATTTGTTGCTATAATATAGGGCAGACATATTTCTGCGATCCGATGTTTCGGATGCTTTGTAGCAGCCGTGGTCATGGGAAGACTAAAGGAGGGTATTTCTTTGACGTTAAAGTAAAAAATTGCTATGCAAGCGCCATCTGTTCCGTCGAATTTGGTATTTGGCGAAACTGGCCGGGTCCGTACAGAATTGACTAACGGTGTCTTCGCGTTTGCCGGTATGCTGTTTATTGGGATCCAGAGGTCTTAATCTGGGATTCCAGGTGTTTGATAATTTGAGACCGTCCTCCCTTTTGAGATTTCGGTGTTTTTTGATTGCAATTGCTTCGCGTACTAATCTTGGAAAAAATCGACTCTCTCATTGCGAGGATGTAATGATTGGGCCCTAACGAATGTAGAGTTGGGCCATTCCATAGAGTGTTGCCAGCAACTTTTGTACTTTACATCCGCGACGGTCCTTCCATTCTGTTTGATATGGTCTTCTGTTTGACCACGGATGTAGGAAAGCATCTGAATCGTCCTGGGCGCTTGAAAATTGTGTCAATAGAAGCTCATTTGGCCCAACTAATTCTAACTAGTAACTCGCGTTTAAATACCGTTAAAGTAGGCGGTTTGACGTTTGAATGTGGGTGGCTTGTTCCTGTTCCTGGGATGCTGTGGAGCGACTCTCAGCTTGTTCTTGCAAAGGACCTGCTTGACATGCTGTAATCTTCATTTAAGTGGGCAGCATTACAGAGACGGCGGGCTCTTTGAAACAAAGATACTCCGACAGAACTAAGTTGGCTGGGGTGGTGATGTGAGTCACAGTTCAAATACCTATCTATTAGGGTGGTTTTTCTAAGGACGGTATGCCCGATATTACCGTTTTCGTCACGAATTACTAATATGTCTAAGAACACACTACCTGTGTTCTTGTCCTCCTGTTCAATTGTAAACTTAATGTTATCATGAATTCAAGTTAAGATGTGTAAGAAATGCTGATACTTGTGCTTTGGGTAAATGGTAAAGGAAGTGGTAGGTATCTGCGTATCGCTTGTAAAACTTAGGATTAACCGGGGAAGAAACGATCGGGCCGAAGTTAAAAATCATTTTCAAATAAGTTTAACTAATATATCGCGTTTTAAACCGTTAAAGTGTTTTATTTAATTGTTATATTAATAAAAATCCGACCAAGCCGTACACACGTAGTTATTACTCTGTGTGTAGTCAAATGACATTTGGCATTTAAAGTGGCGGCGTGTTTCTTGCAACTTTTCTTAACAGAAGCTTCGTTTAACAGACTTCAGTTCCAACGACCCTCTTAAGACAACAATATGATTACACGAATTAATACCCTATTAAGATTGTAACCAAAGGTATTAACATTGCGATCTCAATTAGTAATGCAAGCCGCTTACGATTATTAAAATAATTCAACTAATGTGATAAGCTTGGTCTGTAAATTTGAGTTAGCTCTACCAATAAGAGGCCGCGGTCGCTTATCACTTGTTCACATTTCCTCGTACCATACGAAAAAAACGCCTCTCAATTGATTGGTACCTCCCATTTATGATAATGATGATTACCAGAAAGTTCTTCACTATTTTCGGCGTTCTCGTTTGTAACGGTCATTTTGGGTTTGCAATGAATTCAAATATGCTACTATGTATTTATCCTATGAGAATGGGCATGACGTTGGATTAAATAACTAACGCTTGTACTTTTGACACGTATACTTTTCGCAATCATACCTAGTTCTTATTATGTACACTAGTGATATGAAACAACACATAGGACTAGCTGTGCCAGCGAGTTTGTGCGCGAGAATCGTTATTTTCGGCATCCAAATTAGGTTTTGCAAACCCCATCATCTTTATAAACTTAGGCTGTTATCGACGACGTCGATCGCGTCCCTTCTCGTCGTTTTTACAAGCTAATCTTAAAAGATAGACATATAGCGTCGCGTTTTTAGATTATTTAAAGAGGAATAATTCTTTCATAGACATTTTTTAGTTACCTTTAACAGTTTTCGCAGCGTACGCAACTGAAACCCAATAGAGATGAAAATTTTCCCCCGTTTTGTTCACTTTTCACGCTGTCTCTCCGCTTCTGTTCTTCAATGTACAAATTCTAAAATTTCTAAAATAATTTGAAGATTATTTAAAATGGGAAAGCTGGATATCATATGGTAGCAATATTGATGTTTCATCCGCGTCAGAAACAATCATACACAAAAGAGCGTTTAGGCCCGCAGAAAGCTGAAGGCTGCAGGCCCAATAAAGCTGAAGCTTGGGAGAACTTTTAGAAAATAATTATTATGATGTTAGATGCTAGCGTGTGAACAATTCATCAAATTAACTTATCTCTTCTACTGTCACAAAAAATATTGTTAAGTATATTTGTTTGTCCACCGGGCCGCAGTATTAGGGTTTAAAACATCGCGATATGACTAATGCTAGCGAAATAACAGCGGGAATGGCGAAAAAAAAAACGGAAAATTATTCATCATTATGGGTTTCCGAGACGTAAGCTGCAAAAGCTATTAGAGATACCAAAAAATATGTATAAAAGAACGATTCCTCTTGAAGTGATCTTAAAACATGTCTGCGACCCTATATCTTTTTAGATTTGTGGGAACGACGCGACGCTAACTACGTCGTGGGTAACAGCTTAATTTTGTTGAACAGGATTTTGTCAAAAACAAATTTTGATGCCCAAAATAAATATTTTACACGGACAAAGTCGCTGACACAGATGTGTTATAATAACAACGCGTTACTGTGTTGCTGTTATGGAGGATAATTAATTCACTTTCTTTTTTTCGAGGCATTATCTTGGATGAGAGCTTAGCGCTTAATTGTGATAATACCAAATCAATACCTACTAAAGAAAAATGTGTCCTTCGTCACTCATAATCGTCTCTTGTAAATCTAATCTACGCGATTAAAAAAGTCCTATATATTGGGAGGGATCAATTGACCCAACCAACAGTCGCAGCAAACGAGTCAAGATGAATAGGGTCTTCGCTAGTATTTTGGTCGCGTTGGCGCTTGCCAGTGGTATTGGTAAGAATTTTTTTTTTCGTTACTGAAACTGCTATTAGGAATAGCTTAATATATATTTTTACCTAAAAATCATGGAGAAGAAGAAAAGTAAATTTTGTAACTTGTTCCGAACCTCTCGTCTATGCCTGCTGCTTCACTTCTTGCGTCTCCAAAGTATTCTAAAGTGATGTTTAAGTACAACTTCATAAAAGTTATCAAGTTAAAAAAAAGACTGTATGTGATAAAGAATTAAAATTGTCTCCTCAAGTTTTAGTAGAATTCTCAAATTAATAACGTAGAATGAAATTGTTCATAGGAATGTTTGTTTAAAATTGTCCTAAAAGATGAGTTTTCTTTTGCAGACGGTTTACACCGAAGCGGATTAAGAGGTAAGTAAATTGAACGATTAAGATGTACGTGAATTGTTTACAAAATCCTCTAAACAATAAATATTTCAAAAAAAGATATTGATGCTGCAAATGTTAAATAACTTAGCTAATAAATAAATTTCCACAGTTAAATTCAACTATGGACTTGCCGTTGGTGACGAATTCTTCTTCGATGTCCCCCGTACGGTCCTCAATGCGTTCTTCTCAGGCTGGGGTGTGGCACAGGGAGAACCCAATGCCCCATATAACAACTTGACCCTGTACTGCCACCCAGACCGCGTGCTTTGCGGCTTTTACGACAACCATGACAACATCGCCGGTCTTCAAATTGCTGTGAGTAACGCTATTTAGCAAAGGTGGGCTTTTCAACCTTCTTGAAAGAGTATCTTAGTCTTAACATATAACGTTTTCTAAAACATTTCTTACCCGGGTAAAAATAAACTTTCTCTTTCTCTCTCTTTTTGTAGCTCTCGCAGTATATAATATAATATATTCAATAATGTATTTACAATTAAATTAAATAGTAGCTAATATAATTATTTCCTAAAGTATAGACGTAGACAGAGGAATCAAACTATACTAGATATGTCACGAAGATCACAGCTGCAGAGTGGGTTGTAGTTAATATACCTCAAGTGATAGAGCTTTAGCGCATAACAAATCTATTTTCAATTCTAATTTTTGTAACAACATACTCCGCAGCTCGACCAAGGTGAGTTCGACTTCGCGAATGCCACCTTCGACTGGGAAGCCCAAGGCTACTCGTACTGGAGCCCCCCTGTCAGCTTCGGACAGAGGCGAAGGACTTACTGGACCACGCAGTTATTCTTCGTTTCTCCATGTAAGTCAAGTTACTTGTGTTGGCAGTCTGTAGAAACTGACAAATGTTTTTATCCCTTATTATTCTCGTTTCAGACTCATTCGACTTGTACCCAAGAAATAATACTGATCACGTATTGAGAGACGACAAACTCTTCGTCACCGGATTCAACAAGGAGATCTACACTATCCCTGGAAACGAAACGGTCATTAAGAACGACTCAAGCATTTTCACACAGCAATCTTGTATCAACTGGATGGGTGAGTAAAAAATCAACACGATTTTCAAGAGAAAGACATCTTTAGATACATAAGTGACATTTTTGTCAGCGGAACACTTCTTAGTATGTCTTCCACGTACGTTGCATTCTTACGATATTTGATACCCTTATATATTTATATATCATATCTTGATACAGGTCGTCACTACTTCTACAATATGACAGAAGCCACTCAATGCAACTCCCATTCCCTCTTCCCCTGGTTCCCTATGTATGAGTCCAACGAGTTGGTAGGAGTTGGCTTCTTAACTACCGGCATACACAGGGTGGTTAGCGGCCAGCGCGACTGGTTCGAAAGGCACCCGGAGTTCGCTGTTAAGGTACACTATTGAACTCCCTAAACTATTATATTTCACTCGAAAATACCTCATTCTCTTACTTTCACTCCCAAATTAGTAGCAATAAATGAAAGTGTCTATAAGTTAGGCTCGATTCTTTTATAATTTCTAAGTATGCAATTCGCTGTTAGATATTTTATATTATAAAGCTATACTGTTGTTTCTCAGGCTATCGTTCCCCACGGACCGAGATGTCTCTACGACTTGGCCAGAAGGAACGAGCTCATCACGATGCGTATTTACTTCATCAACGAACCTTGGCTCATTGGATGCCCTGTGTGATAAAGTCAGATATCAAATAATAATGTATGTTTATATTTTCAATAAATAAATTCATATTGAGAATTACATTTTTTTTATTAATTTATCATTATATTCGCCGGGCATGAAAATCGTGCATCGGTTCATTTATGTCACGGATTACTTGTTACCGTGACCGTATAACTCGATATGAAAAAAAAATCTACTATATAACTATAACCTAAATGAATTATCTAACTACTTAACTTGTTTATTTATTTGTTAAAAAAGCGACACAGTGTGTCGTTAACATACGTGTAGTCTCGTGAGTGAGTACTTATCTTAATATATAAATCATAATAAATGTTAGAGTCGAGATGATGCATCGTGCCCGGCGAGACCCCATATTTGTAAATAGCATGTAAATGTATTTCAATAGCAAATAAATGAATATTTGCAACCACTGTTCCTTGGTGGTTCTTTATTTAGTTCCTATTAATTTACATCTATAACCATCCTCTTACCAAACTTATAACTAAGTATTTTGAAAAGGAAAAGAAATTTCAATGTATATTAATGTGTTTACATTATAACAAGTATATACATATTATAAAAACAATATACATACATGTATAGGAAATGTTACTTAAATTACAAGCACGTAAAAGTAATTACGACTGTTTTCGACATTCAGTGGACCGCCAATGCTGCGGTCTTAAAATATGACCCCCCCCTTAAAGGCAGCTGAATTCTATTTTGGAGATGAAGTATTGGCGGACGGGCAAGTCTGTCATGCAGTACCTGTACCGAGGGAGCTCCACATTAACGCGGTACCAATTGATTACTTATTTTCCTTTAAGTTATTTATTTAGTGAGATTCTACTGGTTACGCTAATTTTGCATAGACATTGAAAACCAATAACTATTATTGACTAAGCTGCGGGGCGAGTAATTCATATAAAAACATTTTTTTGAAGAAACCATTTTCTCATTTTTTATTTATTTTCCCTATTATAAAAAAAATGAGCCGTTACTCTACATCTTTTATTAAGACCCTCGACTGCTCAAAATTGAAAAATGTTTCAATTCGAACCCGTAGTTCCTGAGATTAGCGCATTCAAAGAAACAAACTAACTCTTCAGCTATATAACATAGTACTAACTTACTGTACGTTAGTTTTATGATTCTCACTCTCTATTTTAGCATGTAGTTTATTAACATTGTACCTTATATTTAGTCCGTACCTATGTTTCTCTTAGGCACGTAGTACTCGATAGGATATGCTGATCTCTTAGTGGGTCTTTTAATATTATTTTTTTTCATACTCCAAAATACCCGCTGACGGGCTTTTTTTAAATAAATAAATAACATATTAATATTTAAAAATATTTATTCCCACAAAGAGTAGGTGTCTATCAATATAGACAACTCAATAATTACAATTCTTAGTTGAATATTATTATACTACCCAATACAATTTGAAAACTTTATGTTATTGCATATGATGGCACTATATAATTTAAAAATCGATAAATAAAATTAAATCATTTTCGACTCGGAGAGGACTTGGACCGGCATCGTCAGCGTTCCGTGCTGTTGCTCTACCAATTGAGCTACCGAGTCCTACACATCATCGACGATATTTTTTTCAAGTAGTACATGCACCTCTCGCGCAATGTAACTTCAACCATAGCACTAGCGTATTATGAATATAAAAAGGTGATAACGATCATAACGGAGGACTGGGCCCATGTAAGCATGTTTTTAATCTTTTGGAAATAGAAATGGAGAATAAAATGGCGTAAAAAAATGTCCTTATAAAATGGGTCACTTACAAAATCATTAACATTTTGTATCTTAAGAACTTAATTCTTAATTGCATTTAAAATTGGATATATTTTTTTTATTATATATAATCAATTACATTATTATCTTAGCCAAGAAAATGTGCCACGCTTTTATGCGATGTGTCATAAATTATCCAACAGAAATTGATAAATATTACCATTATATCTAAGCATTTCCTGTGTAATCGTTACTATCCTATTTATCGATTATTTTGTTCTTTAATTTCCTTAGATAATAGATTTGCATATTTTGGGATTAAATATTTAAAAAAGGAAACAATCAATTTGTGACTAATGTCAGTGGCTATATTATGTATGTGGAATGTGGATTTTTTCTGTGTTTTTTCCCCTGGCGGGGGGGTTTTGGGGGGGGGGGAAAAAAAAAAAATTTATTTTAAATTTTTTTTTTTTTTTTTTTTTTTTTTTTAACTTTATTACCATGCCCACGTAATTTGAACAATATTTAAAAAGTATAAGAAAAAAGTAAAGTAGGCATATGTAAGTATGAGTTACTTATTTATTTATTTATCATAAAAATTTGTCATGACAGGTGGGAGCCCAATTCAACACTGAACTTAAAAACTGACATAGAAATATACAATTAAATTAAACTATGACCTATAACTAACTATTAACTAATATTAAATATCATTAGTTTACTATTAGTCATTATTAGTTTATTATCTCATAATCTATAGGAAATCATAAACTGTAAACACTTCACGAACTTAGCATATCATTGTTTTCCGGGCTGTTCGGCCGACGCGGTGAGCGAGAAGAGGTTCTCTTCTCGCGCACGTCGCATTTCTTACTTCACATTAGTTTCTTTTCACCGTAATACCTAATCTACGCTCAGGACAACTCCCTTTCACTCTAAGCTCCATTAACTCACCGTACATGTAAAGAAAACGCGTAAACTTATTTTGTACCTTTTCCAACTGTCTAGTGAGGAGACCAAACCGTAGCGTTGTATTCTAAATGGCTTCTCACTAAGGTGTCGCATAAAATTTGAACCGTAAAAAGGCTAGTGAAGTCGCTGCTTTGCCGTAAAACGAATCCTAAATACCTAAAAGCTAACACCCCAGGTCCGTGATTCGTCACGCTTTCAATGGTCCCGGGCCTAATTATAGTTGAATGCCTTAGGTGCCGTCTAAAATCATTCGAGCATTTTTCCACATTGAAAGAAATTTATTTTAATGCTCCAGTCTAAGACATTCATTAAATCAATAACTAACACAAAAAGTATACTAAATATTTTTAATTTATATAATGACATGTTTTTACATTCTGAATAGATGTTCAATTTAGTATCGACAGATTTCAATGTCATTTCGTAGCTCTTAATTTTTATCTATCTACTTTGTTTGTTTGAAGGCTATAGGAGTGTTGATTAGGCATTTATCGAGAGTTTTTGGCTTTAAATGAATCTATTCCTTTTCGGCAAAGACGTTTCGCCTATTTTCACTATTGAAACGTTCATTGGTAAATCGATTGTTAAGTTTTATTTAATGACAAAAAAGGTTTAGGCATTTATCTTTCGCCAATTATTTATTAGGACAGACTTTTAGACAAATAATGTTTCGTTCCTTAAAATTCCATGTAAATAAAAGCGATTTGGTTCTTTTATTTGGTCGTCGAATCGGTATATGACGACGTCATGATCTGAGCGAATGCACTAAACCAGAGGACACGACAGGGCGATATTCTGGAAGTCTAATACCATAGTGAAGATAGGCATATTAAAGGACTCTACTTCTTTTTTTACTTTTTCGCAATAATCTCAAAAAAATTGTCCGCGAGGGAAATAGGCGAAAAAAATAAAAAAGGAAATATCAATTATAAACATATTAATAATTTATATATTCTGATTTGATATATTATATGAACATCGCTTAAATGCTCATATATTGCAAAATTGTTTGATAATACATTGTAATACCACATGTTAAGTCTATCAATAATTACTTAAATCGTGACTAATTTATAAGAGATTTTTTATATTATATATAATTTATTATTTTATTAAAAAATAATAACAATAACTAAACTCAGGTTTGATATTTTTTACTTCTTCTGTATAGGCTACTTTCACATTTTTATTCTTTTCTAACCGATTTCAAAAAATGAGGTTTTCAATTCGAATCATGATTTTATGTTTTGCAGATATTTGATCAACTGGAGAAGAAGGTGTAGGTTCTAAATATAAAATGATTCAATATATTTAGTAGCAAATATAACAAAAAGTTTATAATTTATTTATTTAATGGCACTAAGACAGTCATAGTCAATGCAGAAATAATGAATTAAGGACGGTTCAAGTCCTGTCGAGTCGTATTTTTTTCAATTTATAATCGAATTTTAATTGATAATTAATTATATTTAATTTTATAATATGTACATTGTACGATTTATATCAATAAATATCGGATGCATCAGATAAATCGAATAATGCCAATTATAACCAAATATAATTTTATATTCTGCCGAAACTTAACGATAAATTTTTAAACCAGAATTGAATTAAAGTAAATAAAAAATGACCTTCTTTAAATCAAATAATAAATATTCATTTATTAAAAAATTAAAATATATAATTATTTGGTTTCCTCAAAGGGGACATCCAATGAGACAGGGTTCGTCGACGAAATAAATACGCATCGTGATGAGCTGGTTCTTCTTGGCTAAGTCGTAGAGACATCTCGGTCCGGGGATACGGTACGATAGACTGAGAAATAACAGTTTATCACGACTTGATACTGGAAAAGCTTCAGCTTTATAATATCAAAAATGGAACAGCGAATTGAAACACACAGAGATAAAAAATTGTATTTTTGCTGTAAAAAGTCGATCGAATTTAACTTAGGAAATTCTTGACTTGACTTACATGAAGAAACAAAGAATAATTGCGTGGTCCAGTAAGTCCTTCGCCTCTGTCCGAAGCTGACAGGGGAAGTCCAGTTCAGTCCAAAACAAAGCCAAGGCTTGTGCTTCTTTGTCGCTCGTTCCGCACTCTCGCTTGCACTTCAAGCCTTACATGGAACGCCTCAGAGCGAGGTAACGCGGCATGAGTCATTTGTTCGAGCGAGCATTCTATCGAATTATAAGACGTTGGCACGTCAAAAATATCAGTTGGATGACACCCCAATCCTTTATTAAATAAATGAAGGATTGGGTGCAGGTACACGAATAGTAAGC